GGTATTAAAACTATTTGATAGTGATTCATAAACATATGCTTATGATTAAGTCGAAATTGTACAATCGACACTGTGTTTAGAGGCACTTGGCACTGTGTTGCTAAACGAACATATTTCTTAACCGTTATTTCTTTAGTTATACACAACAGAATCTCTGCACTTGTATAAAGCAGACGTAAATCAACATTAATATATCGTTTTTAGTTTCAACAAAAGAGAACACAAACGGTATTTACGTTAAGATTGGTCGTCATCATATATACTTTGGATGAAAAGTTGACCTAACATTGGAATCGTTTCAAAGTGTAATGATTATTACAAAACGGGTTGAGAGTCTTCTTACGACGTAAATTGTAATAAAAAGGTAAATTGTTATACTTGCAGCAAATTGTAATAGTTTTGACGTAAATTGTAATAACGTAAATTGTACTAAAATTTGACGAAAATTGTAATACGCAAATTGTAATATAAATTGACGTAAATTGTAATAATCTCAACATGCGGTAAAATGTAATAACCTTATAGGTTTAGTGTCAAAGGGGGGATTACTAGAATGAACTTAGTTTTCTTATTTATTTGAGAAATACTCTGTGTGTTTTGTACTTAATTGTAATATATATTTTCATCATAATTGTTCATATTTAACCTGATGGAATCATATTTCAATGGTAAAGTAGGTAGTACTATACACAATGAAATAATTATAACGTAACAAACTTACACAAATATATTGATGTGTAAATGTGGAAAGTATTTGTACATATTTTATGCGGAGAGGGGTTTACTAAGTTGCAAGAACTTGCCCCTAATACAATTCTCATTTTGTTCTGTGAATAAAATATGTTTTAACTAAACTAGCAAATGGATGACATGTCATTCTGCAGTAGTCTGTGTGCAAGCTGATTTATACATGTTCATATACATAATATCAATTTATTTTTATTCAAGTTTCAATTTTTATAACGTTGCTCGGAGGATGTAAAGCAAATAATGACAATGTCCTGTGCGATGTACATGTAGGTATGTGAACCCGCAAGGACTACCTTTATCAATTATTTTACGTGCAGCTTGTGTCATGTCTGTATTGTTAGAATGATACTTAGCAACTGTACACATCGAAATGTATGACTGAAAGATCCATCCTCGGGTTAAAGATGATGGATTACATTAGGTACGTCTATTCGACAAATAGGTTAATTGATTTATCATCCAATAGTAGCTTAGCTAGGAGTCCATTGCAATAACATTGAGTTACGAGTTACCGAAGAGAACTCTGTGCAACCGGATCCTGAAATTATGTCTATTTGCATTGGAGGTTTACTTAATTTGATAAGGTGCACATGACCGGTTCCTTGAAACAAACGAGACAATTCAATCCTATTTATACATTATATTTTGACGAAGAATTCAAATACAACAAATGAGTGACAGATCTCCTGTGCAATGTCAAAGGAAAAAAACCAGCAAATGCAGCATAGATTTCCCATGCATGGGGAAGGAGAATACTTAATACATAACATTATATACAATGTTTTTATTAATATCAAAAGAGGGGCGTGGATATTCTTTACCTACATTGCATATACTATTAGATATTGTGTATTCTCGATCTCTGTGAACTTCTCACAGATAAAAAAATAATAATAAATAAATGCAAACCATGTTAACTTATGCAATATTTGTAGCAATGTATGATTAACATTTGGATCATTAATATAACATAAAATATTTCCTTTCATAGGAGGAAGTATATTTAATGAAATAAATGAATAAATGTAACTGTCTTGATTCCTTTCATATGTCATGAAGAACTAACAACAACTTACTGACAAATTTTGCTGGGATAATAACTCCTTGCCCCAACAACAAAAACAGAATCCATCATGATAACAGCACGAAATCATAATTCAAAGCATACACAAATAATATCCGGTATCTTCGGGCATGTCTTGTTGAGTCTCAAAGAGCATCAATATGTATAATAAATTTGTTGCAATCAATTATTGCTGAAATATATCTGTTTTGATCAAGTTGAAAGGATGGAAAATCTATAATGAAAAGGGTTTTGTCACTAACGTAAATATTCTCTTTGACCTTATACGAAGAGTATTCTATGATCATTAAACTCGGCAATCGTTGGTAGATTGCGCCAAGCAACCTTGATACCAAATTTGGTACCTCACGTATAATGCGGTACATAATTTTCGAAACAGATAATTACGTTTTTCATAAGTTATCACTAATTTGTGACATATATACGGACAAAACTTACCTCAGAGGATAAACTTCTCTGGGGGTTTAAGAGTATTAAAATAATTCCAGCTAACATCAAGCACTGTAATAACTTACAACATACTTTGTTAAAATTCTGATGAAAAGACCAGTAACTATCTAAGAAACCAAATTTTCTGTTGCTGCGATACTTGGGCCTCATCAGCATAGACACACAAACACACACGCACGCACGCACGCACGCACGCACGCACGCACGCAGATACAGACACAAACACGTGTTGCACACACTACATACCCATACAAAAACACCCACACACAAACAGTATATGTGTGTATACATGTACGTATGTATGTATGTATGTGTGTGTGTGTGTGTGTGTGTGTGCGTGCGCGCGCGCGCATGTAGGTGTGTATGTAATGACAGTAAAATGTGAGCTCTATGTCATTGGTATCACATATATGACTGCACTTCTACATACTCTAGATGACAGTATCATGTACGTAGATGAAAGTATGTAAGTGGACGATAGTATCTAGATGGCATACTATCATCTACGTATAAGATACTATCATATACGTAGATGATAGTATTTTCTACGCGGATTGTAGTATCTTCTACGTAGATGATAGCATGCCACAAACATTGCATTTAAAGTGGGTTAGCAGTAGTTGAAAAGAGCGATTCAGCATGAAATCAAATTTGAAATGGGGTCAAACAGTTGTTACATAGTGCATGAAATACCCTCTGAAGACATATATTGAAGTCTCAAATTTAGAAGTTTTAACTCAATTTCAGAAAAAAAAGTGATAAGGGTAGGCAATTAGAACTAGGTAAATCAATCGGAGCAAAATATAATTTGACTTTTTGGTAAGTCACCAGTCATTTCATTGGAATTTTAAGAGAGTATGTTATTACAGTGCTTGATGTTAGCCCAAATTACTTTAATCCTCTTAATCTTTCAGAGGAAGTTATGTTTTCAGGGGATTATTGTACGCATATATTTCGTATCAAGGTTTCTTCGCGCAATCCACCAGCGATTGTCGAGTTTAATGATCTTCAAGTACGTTTCAAGGTCAAAGAGAAAATTTACTTAAGTGACAAACATATTTTCATTATAAATTTTCAATTCCTTTCTATTTGGATACAAGCAGATATATTTAAGCAATTGATTGCAAGAAATTTATGATAATTCGTATACTCTTTGAAACTGTACAAGAGTTATCCGAAGATACCGGATGTTATTTGTGTATTCACGGGATCTGTCAACTCATTTGTTGTATTTGAATTCTTCGTCAAAGTAAAATGAATTGTATAAATATGATTAAATTCCATCGTTTGTTTCAAGAAAAGGATCATGTACTCCTTATCAACTCGTATAGCGTTTCCACTGCAAATCGACACACTGGTTGTGTTTGTACCCTTCGTCATCACTCGTTCAGTCGTGTCGAACTGGTCAAAGTACTGTTGAAGCAAGTCATGCAAAAAAAATCTTGAATAGCCTTATAAGAGTATTGAACAACATGTCACAATTAAGTTATTTGTCGAATATACGGTTGTGTAACCAATCATTTTGAACCCAAGGATGGATCTTTCAGTCATTTAAATTTATCGATGTTGACACCACCCTTTAATGACGATTGTACGATAAAGCCTATACCAACCATCCCTAACTTAACAGTTTTGTACGTTTGTCATCATACACAGTATTTCTCGAATTGTACATGTGAAACGCAAGCTCAACTGACAAAGATCATTTCTAGTCATTTGGCGTCTTGGACACTACGGTAGTAAGGTTATTACAATTTACGTAAGAATTTATTACATTTTACCGCAAGTAGAGATTATTACAATTCACGTCAATTTTTATTACAATTTGCGTATTAAAATTCACGTCAAATATTATTACAATTTACGTTGTTATTACAATTAACGTCAAAATTATTACAATTTGCTGCAAGTATTACAATTTACGTCGTAACAGCAACTTTGCATTGGAACTAAACTTCCTACAGAACATGTGCCAATTGAACACTTTCAGCATCATTCACCAAGTTTATTACACTTTGCAACTTTATTACAAAACGGGTTGCTATGTGCATTTCACGTTGTAATAAAACTCTCAACCCGTTTTGTAATAATTATTACACTTTGCAACTTTATTACAAAACAGGTTGTAACAGCGCTTTCGTGCGACAGGATTTCTAAACCATCACTTGATAGTCTTGAGTACTGTTCTGCGGCGCCAGGCAGCATAAAGACACTTCATAATGCAAGTTGTGTGAGTGGTGGGTGAAGACGGTAGGGCAGGACATGTTTAACCTTTTCGCGATAAAGCTGGTGTCATCACTGATTTCCCGAGATCCATTCACACAATTATCAGGGCTATTTTGCCTTTGGCGCCTCATGTCATCTATTTCGGCCGACAATCAAGACTGGTAATTCTCTGGCGTTGAATGTAATATTATGGAAATCGGTTTGTTGCTATTATCTACATCAAATACCATATAAATAGTTTATTACAAGGAGTCAAGTTGACGCTTGGTGGGAAATGGCCAGAGGGCGACTATCATGGAAATAGTGTTCTCGATAACATTGTGGGCCTTTAAATGAACAAAATGACATATAAATACTTTCGATCAGACCACTTGCAATTTGCATACAAAACAATTGAAAAAAAAGATAAATGATCAATTTGATATTTTAAACCTGGACAAACAATAGTGAGAAATGATATTTAGCGTACATTCTCCAGGTCCCTTCCCGCCCGGCATTTTCGTCACCCTCCCCACGGGACATGCGTCACACTGGTGTGATCCTGGCCGAGTCTGGTATGTTCCTGTGGGGCACAGGGAGCAGGGTTCCACGCTATCACTGGAGAAACTGCCAGGACCACAGGGACCTGTTGGAGAGCAATACGGGCTGTTATATTTGTGCGAGGGTGTGCAGATAACCTGTAGTGTTAGAGAGCAATATGTGGCTGTTATGTGTATTGGAAGGTATCCAGATTACCTGTGAGCAATATGTGGCTGTTATATGTGTTGGAAGGTGTCCAGATTACATGTAGTGTTGGAGAGCAATATGTAGCTGTTATATGTGTTGGAAGGTGTCCAGATTACATGTAGTGTTGGAGAGGAATATGTGTATGTAATATGTGTTGGAAGGTGTCTACATTTCCTGTAGTGTTGGGGAGCAATATGTGATGTCATATGTGTTGGAAGGTGTCCAGATTACATGTAGTGTTTGAGAGCAACATGTGGCTGTTATGTGTGTTGGAAGGTGTCCAGATTGCCTGTAGTGTCGGAGAGCAATATGTGGCTGTTATATCTGTTGGAAGGTGTCCAGATCACGTGTAGTCTTTGAGAGCAGTATGTAGCTGTTATATGTGTTGGAAGGTGTCCAGATTACCTGTAGTCTTGGAGAGCAATATGTGGCTGTTATATGTGTTGGAAGGAGTCCAGATTACCTGTAGTGTTGGAGAGCAATATGTGGCTGTTATATGTGTTGGAAGGTGTCCAGATCACGTGTAGTCTTTGAGAGCAGTATGTAGCTGTTATATGTGTTGGAAGGTGTCCAGATTACCTGTAGTCTTGGAGAGCAGTATGTGGCTGTTATATGTGTTGGAAGGTGTCCAGATTACCTGTAGTCTTTGAGAGCAGTATGTAGCTGTTATATGTGTTGGAAGGTGTCCAGATTACCTGTAGTGTTGGAGAGCAATATGTGTATGTAATATGGGTTGGAAGGTCTCAAGGTGACCTGTAGTTTTGTAGAACAATGTGTGGCTGTTATGTGTGTTGGAGGGAGTCCAGATTACCTGTAGTGTTGGAGAGCAATATGTGTATGTAATATGGGTTGGAAGGTCTCAAGGTTACCTGTAGTTTTGTAGAACAATGTGTGGCTGTTATATGTGTTGGAAGGTGGCCAGATTGTCTCAAAGCACAAAAGAAAACAGTCAGTAAACATTACAGCAACAGTAATAAGTCTCGACACTGCGAGACTTTGGCGTGAATATAGTCTTATCCGATATCCGAGAACATGCAGGAGCTTGATAGCATCGTTCTCTCGCAGTAAATTCCGATGTCCAATAACGACGTTATTTCGACGGAAAACCTATGGTTAGAATGCGTCCAAAGAGAGTCGTATTTTCGTCCATTGACCATGTTCGAAATAACTACGTTTTCGTGTTTGTAGTGATGTTAGGTTCATACATCCCTCCATCGATATCTCACGTGTTTCGTGCATTCGATCGTCGAATGAAATGACAGTCCATGAGAAGTGAATTCACCGTTTGCAGCTCCTGTTGGTCGTAAGAGTATCGCCAAAAACGTCAAAACCGTTTATGGAGTCACGTCACTTTGCAAGTGCATATACAGGCGTATAGCTTTCATTTAGTCGGACAGCAGTCAAGACGCTGATAATATGAATATTGCAGTGTACAATATTTCAGCACTGAATTAAATTCATTGTTCATAATATTTTGTTTATTGCCTTTTGTTTCTTTCAGGTACTGACTAATCGAAACGAGATCGTTCCACTGATTGATACATGAATAATTATATGACCATAGGAGCGGTTCACCGTAGAGGAACGGACACTTGCATTGTATGCATACGCGGTTTTCAAAGGAAATTCGGTTAGTGAAATTTAAGAATTGCATTTTATGATAAAAGAGAGTATTAGCCTAGTATGATGCTCACAAAAAAATTCATATCCTTATATATGATACTTACAATACCCAAATACACTTGGTTATAACTCCCAATGTATAGCTATTGAATACATTTAATGGGTAAGTTTACCTCATCACAGCTGTTCGAAGAATCTGACCCCTCAGACGCTGTCGTGAAGCCGGTAGGACACGGAACACACGTGAGACGTCCTTCATGTTCCTGGTATGTTCCAGTAGGACACAGAACACACTTGTTCTTTGATACATCAACATAGGATCCTTTTGGACAAGCTGTTAAATATATGTTGTGGGCTTGTTTGATACCACATAAACACGTTACTTGTCCCATAATATAAATACATTTTTATCATTAATTATTTTAGACTTGAGTTAATAATTGACATCTGAACATGTGCTCAGCTAGATATGTCTCAATATTGTGATGTAAAATTTTGCTTTAAGAAATACAGCAGAATGCAGCAGTAATGGATTGCTTGGTATATGGTTCCATCGACTTTAAAAAATTGAGAATTCAGAAAAATAATATAATAGTCACTTATATAAAAGCATCTATTGGCCAATTTCTTCATTACCTTTGGAGACAATTATGACATGTAAAAGTCTGATCAACACGGCAAACGTTCGAATTCTAATAGTTGAAATTCCAAAGATGATTTGGTTGCTGTTGTGTTTGAGTCCTAAACATGTTTTGATTCCAACGCGTTAGGAACGTGTTTAGGTTTGTGTTTAGAACACCTTTTGTACAATGTGAAAAGGGTACTATTCTTCAGATGAGCATACAATAGAGCGTTGTTACATATTAAATGTCTTGTAATTCCACAATAGATCATATACATACCCACATATTCTAAATTTACAAACAGATGACATAGATGAATTGCTTAGGCTCACCTTTTCGTGAACACCTGGTATCTTCACTATTTGATAGTGAACACATGCTCATGATATAGTCGGAATCATACAATTGACTCTGCTTTATGCAGAGATTGCTATTGGATATGGAAGGGTTTTGTCGCTTTATATTATTGTATTTGCGATGTCGAATTGAAATATATATTACATACGTTTACAATAATCAACAAATTCGTTCCTACTTGATATCGACACGGTGAAGGAGCATGGATAGACCTTGTGTCCTGACTTATCCCTGGCATCATATTTCACTGTATAGTTCCCTGCTGGATAAGCCCTTCCGGGTCGCAACCTGGAAGTCAAGGTCACATTCACAAAGCCTCCTTTTGGTGAGTCGATAGCCTTGACCTTTGACCACGTGATGTTGATGCTTGTTTCATTTGCTTTGAGGAAATGAGTCTGACTGGGAGGACAGTTGATGATCACGGGAGGTGATATGTCTAGGAATAAAGCAAGTGATGTAAGATAATCGAAACATGAACAACATGGTTGAGGTTTAATGTATGCGCTGGTCCTTATATATACAGTTCCTCAGTAGGTTAGTGTTCTCTAGAGTATGGGACCGTTCTTCCTTCGAAAATACTACAAAAGCAGAGAACACGTCCTGCAGCGAACGCTGTTTCAGACAACAGTAGCTGTTTACAACTTGACCTAGCACTTTCATCTACCTGTTTATCATTTATCATGTTACATCTAGTATGAAGTAGAGGAACAGGTGCTACTGACCTACACAGGTGATACTGAACTACAAAGGTGATACTGACCTACACAGGTGATACTGAACTACAAAGGTGATACTGACAAACACAGGTGATACTTATCTACACAGATTATTCTGACCTACAAAGGTTATACGTACCTACACAGGTGGTTGACTCCGACCACGTCTCATCAGACTGACAGGTCCTCTCTCTGATACCAAAGCTGGGCCCGAACCCGGACTCACAGGACAAGCTGCAGGAGGTGCCCGTCCTGACAGAGGTGGTGCTACAGCTGAGGTGTCCGTTGGTCACATGTTGCGGAACCAGGCACTTCTTCTCTGTGAATCAAATAAAGACAATATGTACACACACACACACACACGCGCGCGCGCGCGCGCGCGCACACGCACACGCACACACTCACACACTCACACACTCACACACTCACACACTCACACTTAGACACACGGATATATACCCGGATATATACTGAAAACGTTGCTTTGTGTACGTCAGAGAATTCAACCAATTAGAACTTGAACTAAGTAAGATACCAAGGCTTCATTAGTTGACCTAACAGTGCTGAATGTTTTTAATTATTTCATCTTAAATCATATTCACCATCATTAAAGAATAAGAATGCTGTTTTTATATTTCAGTGTACTATTGCTGTGGCCCCATATGCAAATTACCAATACCCTATGTCTGTCGAAAGAGCTAACTGATGAGCATCGTGTGGTTACAATGCTTGACCTGATAGATCATTTACTAACCATTTTGTATTGTTGGAATATTGTTCACTTTACTCATTTCTGCCAGAACTGGTGATGTCTGTAGAGTGCGTATGGCGTGGTAAAAACCATTTGCATAGACTTTGTCAATTTAGGCTGAAACCTACACTGATCAAATTCATGAAGTCGTCAAGAAAGCCCTCAGCACATAACAATAACCACGATTCTACTTGAGGTGGGGCAGGGTTCTCAACAAACTGTGAACAACTGGTCCCATCATTAGCTAACAGGGATTTCACACCCTTTTTCACTTTTCACATTCTTATGAACTGTCATATTATTGTACAATGGACAGAGCAGAGATTTCTTATGCTTATGGAAAGGGTTTTGTTCACCTATGCATGACAACGATGCAGTCCAAGTTTCATTTTCCAAACACGTGACCGTCTTCACCCCCGACGCCAGTTTGTATCCATTGTCACACAGAAGAGCACAGACTGCACCAAAAACTTGGGGGGCATCGGTACAGTTGTAGAGGCCATGGGACACAGAGGGAGGAGGGGGACACTTGTGTTCTGCATCCAAACAACCTAACTTTAATACGAACTGTATATTTAAGTAAAGCCAAGGTGAAAAGATCATATATTACCTTCAATAAAAATGGGTCGATTTGACTTTGTAAGGTAGAATCGTATGTTGTAGATCCAGACCGACATACCAACACACGCAGCTGTTGCAGATCAGGTTTTATTGACCAAACACTTGATTTCAGAGGATGGTGACTTCAGTTTATACCCAGAGTTACACTGTAGGATGCACACATCGTCCAATTTATGAATTATGCTGGTCCGACAGTGAACGACTCCATTAGTAACTTTGGGCGGGGGTTGACATGTGATTTCTGAAAAACGACAGAGCAAATGACTAAGTTTATTATTCTTTCAGTGTATAGCTGAGTCATTGATCATCATTAAACTTTAAAACACCTTATCTTAAAATATTCACAATATTTTACACAATGACCTTTTAACACATTTTTCTATCAGAGACATACCAGCACATGAGGCCGATGTTGACCAGGATCCTCTCGGAAGACACTTGACCTCGGAAGAAAATGCTTTATAACCAGAGTTACACTGGAGATGACACACTTCATCCACCTTATGAGACGTACTGAAAGTCGCACATTGAATCACACCATTCAAAACTTTTGGTACAGTGGAAAAGTAGTTTTCTGAGAAATGAAACAGACCCCTATAAACTTAATATGTCATTTTGAGTGTGAAATGTGTTTACATCGCAGTAATGAATATTCAAGGCGGGCGGTAAAACGCTGGTTGATGACATCCTCAAGCCCATCATGGTGACCCAAACTTCAATACGACAAGCATGCACACTTGGGACGTACTTTGGCTGGGAATTCCAAAGTGACGTGTCACCAGACATTGTGATGTAAACACATACATGTATTATAGAGTGGTTTCATTGCCCATCTCACCTTATCTCACAGAGAGTCTGTGTTGCATATGTGTCGTCAAGTGTTCCACCTCATTTGTCAGTATTTACCAATTTCTTATTTTCGATAAAAAACAGCAATGGTAGGAAATCAAATGTTCATAACTAATATATCACTGAAAGCATAAAATATCTAAGTCTACTCTGACAAACGGACATTATAAGATGAAAACGCATGGATAACGGTTGACCCGAAAATAACCAAGAAGTGATGAGTGCCACCAGTGGGGAAAGATACGCGAAACCTTTTCGCGAACACCTGGTATCATCACTGTTTAATATTTATTCATGACAACATGCTTATGATCTAATCAATCGACTCGGCTTTTTGAAGATTTTTCTTATGAAAATGTAATCGACGCTTCTATTTTCACTTTGTTCAGATTTGGGACTTGCCTGTTTATCAGACATCAACCAATTGAAGCGTCATGGTTTGTTTGTTTGATACACCCTGGACCAGACAATCCAGTGATTGACCTCATGCGCATCGATCTGCGATAACTGGGATAGGATGGCATGCATCAACCAAGTCAGTGAGCCTGACCACCCGATCCCGTTAGTGAAGAGTTAATGGATGATATATGATGTATTTGTATTATTCTGTATGTATTCGACTCCATCCTATTAGGGATGTTGACAGATTAACACGTCTCATGCCATTAACATTGGCATGAAGTAATCAGTGGTACAATGGCTATTAATGCACGATTCGAGAGGAACAGAGATTTCTACCTATTTCTAACCTATGCACGTCGCTCCGCCATACCATGTTCCTTCACAGCATCCTAAATGTGTTCCCTTGTTTGAGTAACCATGGTTACATGTCAGTGTACACTCTAGTTGAGTCAGGTACATGTAGTTTGTTGTATCACACTGAAATGTTCCATGATATGTCGTCGGAAAGGGACATCCTAAAATTATAATAATTCATATTTGATATTTAAATATATCAATTAATAGAATATTACAATAACACAAAACAAGTATTGCAATTGTAGAGATACAAAGTTGTTGGATACTTACCAGGAACTTCACGAACTGGTCTTTTCTGCAACCCTATAAAGCAGAAATAGGGAGTATGTGTATGTAAATAGCATATCAGCCCTGTCGTATATGGGAGCACGTAGTATAAAGAGGTTTACAAGGTAGAAGGTGAATAAAAGTGTAAGATGCCATTCAGTATTCTATCTCTCAATAGATCTGCTGTGTTGTTGACAAGCTACATACACAGTGTCTGTGTACTTACCGTCGTAGTGTTTAGATCCTGTAATGCGACCTATTACCATCAGCAAATGAAAAACATAGATTGTTGTCATAAACATGTCGCGCACATAAGCAGATGCAGGTGTCCACTAAAACAAAAATATATACTTATACAGACATCCAACCCCTGTCAAGAATATAATAACACAAAAAGCTTTGCATTGACCGCAAAGATTTCAATAGAAAAACCTATTACTATCTACCTGGTTGATTGACGCTGTTCACAACACGGCTTACCTGTTCCTTTAACCTTATCTTATTTTCTATCTAACACCCGTTGTTTCTCATGATAGTCTGCCCGTAGAGGAAACATCGCTTGCAAAATGATCTGGAATTCTATCATTTTATAATCTTGAACAAGAGGGTATTTTGCTTACTTGAATTGAAACTGTGACCCTTCAGAGCACACAAGAAGTCCACAGTAAGCTAAAACACGAACAACAGACATCTGTCCACTTATCTATCCACCATCCATCTATCCATTGATCCATCCAACATTTATCTTTCTATCTATATACCTATCTGTCTACCTGTCGTACTTTAGCTACTCGAGAGTCAAAACACAATAATGTCCCAAGTTATACAATGTAGGTTACAGACATGCAAACACTCACCATCTGGCTGATCAGCTACACACCTGCCTACACACCGTCCTACGTTCTACCTCGCTATGTGATGTACAGTCACGTGTTGTTTATTAGCATGATCAAATACGTACTGACTGGTGATAATATACTTCAATTTCACTTTGGAAAATCTACATAGACTCATTAAATAGAGTACGGAAACAGTCAAACATCTTGGACTTTGACAGTCAATAACAGCCTAAGTGTGAGCGGAGTATGTATTAAATGATGGTTTATGAACCTTTAGGATGTCATGATTTGCTTATTACATATGCCCACTTCAGCTGAAAAATGGATTTTAAATGACAAGGGTCGATTCACAAAGTAAAACAGGAGAACAAGTTGTTCTCTACGTTGGATGCATACGACTCTTGCTCTGAAGTTGTTTGATCCAGGTTACAACATTCAGGGCCCCAGTAAAGTTTTCAACAAGTTTTATGGCAGACATGTGGAGGACGTTTCCAAATTTGACGCATCACTGACAAAAAATATGTCCGACGCAATTTGTAGATGACAGAAAGTCCCTGTTCTTTATTTAGCGGTATGCGGTTGAATGGCAGGTGGACAGGGGTGGTAACTGCGGGTGGATGGTATAAGAGAAAAGCATGCGGGTAGGCGTGAAATTTGAAAGTGTGCATCGCTGTGAGTGATAACCTGATGTACGGCTGTTGTCAACACTATGATTCTGCCACGAAATTTGTAAGTAATAAATTGCATATGCATGCATGATATATTTATTTATGAAAGGGGTGTAATTTGATATAATGTTCGTTTAAAGCCAGAATTATTTGAGAGTTACCACCGTGTTCTGACGTGTGCATGTTATTACCGTATTTACCGTATTTTTTGGATTATTACGGAGTAAGTTTGTATTGTGACAAGCTAGCTGTGTTTCGGACATGAGGATATGCAAGTAAGTTTGTTGTTTTGTATGGTTTCAGCTTGAACCTGCTTCGTATGGTATACGTTGAACATTGACTGTTTGGATCACAGACTAAAGCAGTGTGTGAGAAAATGCAGAATCTGATGTTTATTGACTTTGAAACCTACACAATTCCTTATTTTGATTTGTACCATTATGTTCCCGGGGCTTTTTCAGATGGACAGTTGACTTGCCTTTGCATGTGTTTGTGACGGGTTCCACCGGTTGGGCAGGATACGCTCACCTTTCCACCAACGCCTGGTATCATCACTATTCGATAGTGATTCATAAACATATGGTATAGTAGGAATCGTACAATCGACTCTGTGTTTAGCAGATATTTCTATTGCATATTGTCGCTTAAAATTCTGTACAGCGTCGCCTCATCAAAGTTACATTACGTATCATTTTAGATGCCCGAGAGACAGCTTGCCTGGAGAAAATGTTGATTATTTAAAGGAGGTGGATGATTACCAGGCAATCCTAAGAACGTCCCAAAGATACTCTACTAGATGGTGCCAGATCCAGGCAGTTAGTTTGCCACTGAACCTTTACAATTCCATGTTGGTTATTGCAGTGTATAACAACAGGGGCCCAGTGCGGTCTGGCATTGTCATCTTGGAGAGTAGCACCAGGTTCATTAACGTTCAAAGCAGGAAGGTCAGGTGGCCGAAGAATATAGTCTCTGTACCGTAATCCTGATTTCCATTGACGTTATACAGAGGTGTTCAGTGATGAAGACTGAAGCCACCCCATACCATAACCGACCCACTACCACATCGGCACTGTTTTCGTTCGGTTTCTTAATTGAAGCCTTCACCTCGACGTGTATAGAATCGAATCCGACCATCGTTTGACTGGAGGCTGCAGCAAGACTCGTCCCAAAACAATACCTGCGGCCATTGCTGCCGATTCCAATGACTAGGAAGCCTGAAACAAGCAAGACGAGCAGCTCCATGATGAGCAGATTGAAGTGGTGGACGTTTTGAATTGATCCCGGCAACACGGAAATGTCTCCTATGGTCTGTGCACTGACATTCACATGCCCGCAGCTGGAGTCTCAGTACACTTGATGTGGTGAATCTGTGACAAAGATCTGACAGGATAATGTAACGGTCATCACCCTTGGCTGTTGCTTTAGGTCAACCTGATCGTGGTTGCTCTTGAACTCTACCCGTCGTTCGAAACCTCTCCCACAGTCGAGAAATGACAGATGGCGTCTTGCAGCTTCTCTGATGACTGTTCCACCCAGCAGCCACCCAAACGCAACCTCTGTCTAACTGGAATAATGGTCTTCGTCATGGTTACTAAACAGACAGCAAAAGATTCGAATGCCTCAATATTTTATACCTATATTTGCAGTGGTTTCACAGGCCTCACGTAAAGCACATGCATTGTTGCATTGGGAGAAACAACTGTTGCACATAAAACGGCAACGTGTTTAAATTCACCGAATTCAGGCAAGTTTCATTCTGGTGAAAATGTTTTTCACTCAACGTCTCAGAAAGCAAGCCGTCAACTGTTCTGAATTGAAGGAATTAAGTGATGTGATTTGTAGCCACGGAATATATTGAAAAACAGCTATCCGAACATAGTTGGTTTATATTTTAGGGTGATCTTTACCAAAATGACATGACATATTACGCTGATCGTTACCAAAATGACATGACATTTTACGATGATCTTTACCAAAATGGCATGTCATTTTACGGTGATCTTTACCAAAATGGCATATCATTTTACGGTGATCTCTACCAAAATGGCATGCCACTTTACGCTGATCTTTACCCAAAGTTCATGACATTTTACGGTGATCTTCACCAAAATGGCATGTCATTTTACGCTGATCTTTACCAAAATGACATGACATTTTACGCTGATCTTAACCAAAATGACATGACATTTTACGCTGATCTTTACCAAAATGACATGACATTTTACGCTGATCTTTACCAAAATGACATGACATTTTACGCTGATCTTTTCCAAAATGACATGACATTTAAGGGTGATCTTACCAAAATGACATGTTACTTTAGGGTGATATTTACCAAAATGAGATGCTGGTATTCGAAATGAGTCTCGTCATTTGTGGGAACATGCATGATCAGTTTTAGATGATGTTTACTGACCAAGACAGATATTAGACACATTAATTAGTTCTCAACATTAATTAGTTCTCACTGCCATGAATCTCTTGAATTGTGTTGGTGTCCGATTTGAATTTGTATAATCGTCGAAGTGTGTGTGGGTCCATGAAAACCTAACTGGACTGTTGTTGGAATGAAACTAAAATATACAAGAATAGGACAAGTCCCCAAGCCTATTCCTTCTCCCCTCTTCTACGATACATGTATCGTATTTCCGATAGCAGAATAACGATAATGGCAAAAACCATAATGTGTTAATATGCTTCGATATTACATTGAACGCTATACCATATGTTGAGAGAGAGCTTTGGATTTTGTAGTGAAACCGGCTCTTTAGCAGATGTCGCTGCAAAACCATATATTATTTTCTTCCATCAAAATGAAGCACAATTATATTTTTTAAGTATTGTCGGGACAAATTATTTTTTTCACACACACACCTCCACACACACCTCCACCCCCCAAAAATAAAAAAAATAAAAACACCACGTTGTGTGAGTATGATTCTGTATTTCATGTAACACCATATATTTATTGTATTTAGATACCAGTCACTGTGCAGTCAGTCGCCCTTAAAGCACCCGTAGCATTGGTTGTGTGACCTTGAGGGCAAGGGTCACAGCTTTTTTTTTTCGGTGAGCTTTGATACGACCCCCTTGCACAAGGAGTACACGGCTGAAGGCCGTCAGAGGAAGAACTTCCGGGCAGACACGGACCTGTAATATCGGTGACACAGTCAGTTTTAACCTAAAACAAACAGATTCTCAACAAAATTAATACTGGCCAAGCAATGTCAAGGAAGTAAAAACAGTGCATACAGAAACAGTTTAAGTCCGGAAACCTTGTTTACTGGTGGGAATGTCTGCATGAAGACCAAGGGAGATTACAACAATATCTAACGTTGATGATTCACCTGATGAAGGAGTAAACGTATACTCTGAAACGTTGTGTTCCTCATAATAAAGAAGTTGACATCCATATATTCTCTTCCTTAATGTCTATCGTTATTTGGCAGCGTATTGTATTGTTCAATACTGATTATAGCTGTATTGCATTGTTTCTGTAGAGATTCGGTAGATGCTCATTGCATTGTATTTGGGCAGTGATTGGTCGTCAGGAATGTAGTACTATTTAATGAAAGCAGTCGTCAGGAAGGTACTTTATTTTGATGCTTGTGTGGTGTGTTTACTTCCGATCCGGTATACCGCGGACGGTGATAGTTTGTCATAGAAACATGTGGAATGTTCTAGTACCGCTAGACTGGTGAGGGCAAACTGTCGAAATTTCCAATAGCCAGTTAATCTGTATGTAAGGGGACAAGAGCGTGTTTACGCATCTCTCACATTTTTCATCACATCACGACCACCTTTCGTGTGTGGATCACTCATCAACCCTGAATCCTTGCCCAGGACCGCCGCTAGGTGAGTATACATTATTATCACTGACTTTTGATTTACTAACCTTTTTGTATTTGATACTTACTTTCATCATATTATGCATTGCTATTGCAAATTGAACTACCGGTCTTTTGTGTACTGCCATTGCAATTCCTTTGCAGTAATTTGTATTGATCTGTAAACCGAGTGAATTTTTGTAATACATTTGTTGATTGTATACCACTTGTTGATTGTTTGTTGTTTTCACACTAAGTTCTTCACACGTACATATTTCTTGGTTAACATATTGTTTCAATTTGGGAATCGACACTATTGATCCCTTTATCCAGAATTGTTTCGGTACGGGAAACCTTAATACAAACTCTAATATGCCCTGCTTGTGGAGAGAGCATGTGTTAACAGAAATCCAGTTTGCCATAATTAGTAATTTAACAACAGCGCTAACGACAATTTATCGACCCACTGACACGGATTGTATTTCTGTTATTATTTGCATTTTAGTAACATGTTTTGTGATATTGCTGGGATGTTGGCTGCACTTATAGATCCGGTTCTGCTTGTATCAAGCCTATTTAATATTCCATACCTCTGCAATCCGTCTTTGAGACTGAGCCTCCTGCAGATGTTGAGAGACCCCAGGGACAATACACGCACTTGTGACTGTTTTCTTGGTCTTGGTAGGTTCCTTTGGGGCAAGGCGCACATTTCTTCACAAGCAAGAAGTCCATCACGTAGTTACCTCGGGGACATATGCCTGTTAAACAGAATAGCCTTACAGGATTCAAGGCAAGAGTTCATATGTTGTATGTTGTGGTAAGTTCTTATTTTGACTTGAAACATCTCTTCCTGATTTTGTCCAGGTCAATATTTGATCATAACTTGCCTTTTCGTGTGGGGCAGGATGCGCTCACCTTTTCGCGAACACTTGGTATCATCACAAATTGGTAGTGATTCATAAACAGTTGTTCATGACAAAGCAACAGTATAAATGTCGCAACAGAGTTGGGATTAATGCTGCGTTGAACAGTGTTGAACAGTCACATTACAAAGTCAATTTAACGTTCGATGCATGAGGCATGTTAGATAGCCATAGCTCAACTATTAGGGAACCAGTACCCTCGATGCCATTCTGAGTCTATTTAAGATTATAATGTTGACAAAGAAATACTTTCGATCAAACTTCTCGCCATTCACATGTTTAAGAAGTGATAAAAGATATATGACCCGTCTGAAATGATAAACCTGGAAATAACAATTCTAAGAAATATAAAATAATATCTATCGTACAGTATCCAGGTCCGTTTTCCCCAGTTGTCTTCGTCACCATCCCCACTGGGCATGCGTCACACTGTTTTGATCCTGGCCGAGTCTGGTATGTTCCCATGGGGCACAGAGAGCAGGGTTCCACGCCATCAGAGGAGAAGCTGCCAGGGACACACTGGGCTGTTCGTGAGCAATATGTGGCTGTTATATGTGTTGGAAGGTATCCAGATTACCTGTAGTGTTGGAGAGCAACATGTGGCTGTTATATGTGTTGGAAGGTATCCAGATTACCTGCAGTGTTGGAGAGCAATATGTGGCTGTTATATGTGTTGGAAGGTGTCCAGATTACCTGCAGTGTTGGAGAGCAATATGTGGCTGTTATATGTGTTGGAAGGTGTCCAGATTACCTGCAGTGTTGGAGAGCAATATGTGGCTGTTATATGTGTTGGAAGGTGTCCAGATTACCTGCAGTGTTGGAGAGCAATATGTGGCTGTTATATGTGTTGGAAGGTATCCAGATTACCTGTAGTGTTGGAGAGCAATATGTGGCTGTTATATGTGTTGGAAGGTATCCAGATTACCTGCAGTGTTGGAGAGCAATATGTGGCTGTTATATGTGTTGGGAGGTGTCCAGATTACCTGCAGTGTTGGAGAGCAATATGTGGCTGTTATATGTGTTGGAAGGTATCCAGATTACCTGCAGTGTTGGAGAGCAATATGTGGCTGTTATATGTGTTGGAAGGTGTCCAGATTACCTGCAGTGTTGGAGACCAATATGTGGCTGTTATATGTGTTGGAAGGTGTCCAGATTACCTGCAGTGTTGGAGAGCAATATGTGGCTGTTATATGTGTTGGAAGGTGTCCAGATTACCTGCAGTGTTGGAGAGCAGTATGTGGCTGTTATATGTGTTGGAAGGTGTCCAGATTACCTGTAGTGCTGGAGAGCAATATGTGGCTGTTATATGTGTTGGAAGGTGTCCAGATTACCTGCAGTGTTGGAGAGCAATATGTGGCTGTTATATGTGTTGGAATGTGTCCAGATTACCTGCATTGTTGGAGAATAATATGTGGCTGTTATATGTGTTGGAAGGTGTCCCGATTACCAGTAATCTTGGAGAGCAATATGTGGCTGTTATATGTGTTGGAAGGTGTCCAGTATACCTGTAGTCTTGGAGAGCAATATGTGGCTGTTATATGTGTTGGAAGGTGTCCAGATTACCTGCAGTGTTGGAGAGCAATATGTGGCTGTTATATGTGTTGGAAGGTGTCCAGATTACCTGCAGTGTTGGAGAGTAATATGTGGCTGTTATATGTGTTGGAAGGTGTCCAGATTACCTGCAGTGTTGGAGAGCAATATGTGGCTGTTATATGTGTTGGAAGGTGTCCAGATTACCTGCAGTGTTGGAGAGCAATATGTGGCTGTTATATGTGTTGGAAGGTGTCCAGATTACCTGCAGTGTTGGAGAGCAGTATGTGGCTGTTATATGTGTTGGAATGTGTCCAGATTACCTGTAGTGCTGGAGAGCAATATGTGGCTGTTATATGTGTTGGAAGGTGTCCAGATTACCTGCAGTGTTGGAGAGCAATATGTGGCTGTTATATGTGTTGGAATGTGTCCAGATTACCTGCAGTGTTGGAGAGTAATATGTGGCTGTTATATGTGTTGGAAGGTGTCCCGATTACCAGTTATCTTGGAGAGCAATATGTGGCTGTTATATGTGTTGGAAGGTGTCCAGTATACCTGTAGTCTTGGAGAGCAATATGTGGCTGTTATATGTGTTGGAAGGTGTCCAGATTACCTGCAGTGTTGGAGACCAATATGTGGCTGTTATATGTGTTGGAATGTGTCCAGATTACCTGTAGTGTTGGAGAGCAATATGTAGCTGTTATATGTGTTGGAAGGTGTCCAGATTACCTGTAGTGTTGGAGAGCAATCTGTGGCTGTTATATGTGTTGGAAGGTGTCCAGATTACCTGTAGTGTTGGAGAGCAATATGTAGCTGTTATATGTGTTGGAAGGTGTCCAGATTACCTGTAGTGTTGGAGAGCAGTATGTGGCTGTTATATGTGTTGGAAGGTGTCCAGATTACCTGTAGTGTTGGAGAGCAATATGTGGCTGTTATATGTGTTGGAAGGTGTCCAGATTACCTGTAGTGTTGGAGAGCAGTATGTAGCTGTTATGTGTGTTGGAAGGTGTCCAGATTACGTGTAGTGTTGGAGAGCAGTATGTGGCTGTTATATGTGTTGGAAGGTGTCCAGATTACGTGTAGTGTTGGAGAGCAGTATGTGGCTGTTATATGTGTTGGAAGGTGTCCAGATTACCTGTAGTGTTGGAGAGCAGTATGTGGCTGTTATATGTGTTGGAAGGTGTCCAGATTACCTGTAGTGTTGGAGAGCAATATGTGGCTGTTATATGTGTTGGAAGGTGTCCAGATTACCTGTAGTGTTGGAGAGCAATATGTGGCTGTTATATGTGTTGGAAGGTGTCCAGATTACCTGTAGTGTTGGAGAGCAAAATGTGGCTGTTATATGTGTTGGAAGGTGTCCAGATTACCTGCAGTGTTGGAGAGCAATATGTGGCTGTTATATGTGTTGGAAGGTGTCCAGATTACCTGCAGTGTTGGAGAGCAATATGTGGCTGTTATATGTGTTGGAAGGTGTCCAGATTACCTGTAGTGTTGGAGAGCAATATGTGGCTGTTATATGTGTTGGAAGGTGTCCATATTACCTGCAGTGTTGGAGAGCAATATGTGGCTGTTATATGTGTTGGAAGGTGTCCAGATTACCTGCAGTGTTGGAGAGCAATATGTGGCTGTTATATGTGTTGGAATGTGTCCAGATTACCTGCAGTGTTGGAGAGCAATATGTGGCTGTTATATGTGTTGGAAGGTGTCCAGATTACCTGTAGTGTTGGAGAGCAATATGTGGCTGTTATATGTGTTGGAAGGTGTCCAGATTACCTGCAGTGTTGGAGAGCAATATGTGGCTGTTATATGTGTTGGAATGTGTCCAGATTACCTGCAGTGTTGGAGAGCAATATGTGGCTGTTATATGTGTTGGAAGGTGTCCAGATTACCTGCAGTGTTGGAGAGTAATATGTGGCTGTTATATGTGTTGGAAGGTGTCCCGATTACCAGTAGTCTTGGAGAGCAATATGTGGCTGTTATATGTGTTGGAAGGTGTCCAGTATACCTGTAGTCTTGGAGAGCAATATGTGGCTGTTATATGTGTTGGAAGGTGTCCAGGTTACCTGTAGTCTTGGAGAGCAGTATGTGGTTGTTATATGTATTGGAAGGTGTCCAGGTTACCTGTTGTCTTGGAGAGCAGTATGTAGCTGTTATATGTGTTGGAAGGTCTCCAGATAACCTGCAGTGTTGGAGAGCAATATGTGGCTGTTATATGTGTTGGAAGGTGTCCAGATTACCTGTAGTCTTCGAGAGCAATATGTAGCTGTTATATGTATTGGAAGGTGTCCAGGTTACCTGTAGTCTTGGAGAGCAATATGTAGCTGTTAAAGGTCTTGGAAGGTGTCCAGATTACCTGTAGTGTCGGAGACCAATATGTAGCTGTTATATGTGTTGGAAGGTGTCCAGATTACCTGTAGTGTCGGAGAGCAATATGTGGCTGTTATATGTGTTGGAAGGTGTCCAGGTTACCTGTCGTGTCGGAGAGCAATATGTGGCTGTTATATGTGTTGGAAGGTCTCCAGATAACCTGCAGTGTTGGAGAGCAATATGTGTCTGTTATATGTGTTGGAAGGTGTTCCGATTACCTGTAGTCTTGGAGAGCAATATGTGGCTGTTATATGTATTGGAAGTTGTCCAGATTACCTGTAGTCTTGGAGAGCAATATGTGGCTGTTAAAGGTCTTGGAAGGTGTCCAGATTACCTGTAGTGTCGGAGAGCAATATGTAGCTGTTATATGTGTTGGAAGGTGTCCAGATTACCTGCAGTGTTGGAGAGCAATATGTGGCTGTTATATGTGTTGGAAGGTGTCCAGATTACCTGCAGTGTTGGAGAGCAATATGTGGCTGTTATATGTGTTGGAAGGTGTCCAGATTACCTGCAGTGTTGGAGAGCAATATGTGGCTGTTATATGTGTTGGAAGGTGTCCAGATTACCTGCAGTGTTGGAGAGCAATATGTGGCTGTTATATGTGTTGGAAGGTGTCCAGATTACCTGCAGTGTTGGAGAGCAATATGTGGCTGTTATATGTGTTGGAAGGTGTCCAGATTACCTGCAGTGTTGGAGAGCAGTATGTGGCTGTTATATGTGTTGGAATGTGTCCAGATTACCTGTAGTGCTGGAGAGCAATATGTGGCTGTTATATGTGTTGGAAGGTGTCCAGATTACCTGCAGTGTTGGAGAGCAATATGTGGCTGTTATATGTGTTGGAATGTGTCCAGATTACCTGCAGTGTTGGAGAGTAATATGTGGCTGTTATATGTGTTGGAAGGTGTCCCGATTACCAGTTATCTTGGAGAGCAATATGTGGCTGTTATATGTGTTGGAAGGTGTCCAGTATACCTGTACTCTTGGAGAGCAATATGTGGCTGTTATATGTGTTGGAAGGTGTCCAGATTACCTGCAGTGTTGGAGACCAATATGTGGCTGTTATATGTGTTGGAATGTGTCCAGATTACCTGTAGTGTTGGAGAGCAATATGTAGCTGTTATATGTGTTGGAAGGTGTCCAGATTACCTGTAGTGTTGGAGAGCAATCTGTGGCTGTTATATGTGTTGGAAGGTGTCCAGATTACCTGTAGTGTTGGAGAGCAATATGTAGCTGTTATATGTGTTGGAAGGTGTCCAGATTACCTGTAGTGTTGGAGAGCAGTATGTGGCTGTTATATGTGTTGGAAGGTGTCCAGATTACCTGTAGTGTTGGAGAGCAATATGTGGCTGTTATATGTGTTGGAAGGTGTCCAGATTACCTGTAGTGTTGGAGAGCAATATGTAGCTGTTATGTGTGTTGGAAGGTGTCCAGATTACCTGTAGTGTTGGAGAGCAGTATGTAGCTGTTATATGTGTTGGAAGGTGTCCAGATTACGTGTAGTGTTGGAGAGCAGTATGTGGCTGTTATATGTGTTGGAAGGTGTCCAGATTACGTGTAGTGTTGGAGAGCAGTATGTGGCTGTTATATGTGTTGGAAGGTGTCCAGATTACCTGTAGTGTTGGAGAGCAGTATGTGGCTGTTATATGTGTTGGAAGGTGTCCAGATTACCTGTAGTGTTGGAGAGCAATATGTGGCTGTTATATGTGTTGGAAGGTGTCCAGATTACCTGTAGTGTTGGAGAGCAATATGTGGCTGTTATATGTGTTGGAAGGTGTCCAGATTACCTGTAGTGTTGGAGAGCAAAATGTGGCTGTTATATGTGTTGGAAGGTGTCCAGATTACCTGCAGTGTTGGAGAGCAATATGTGGCTGTTATATGTGTTGGAAGGTGTCCAGATTACCTGCAGTGTTGGAGAGCAATATGTGGCTGTTATATGTGTTGGAAGGTGTCCAGATTACCTGTAGTGTTGGAGAGCAATATGTGGCTGTTATATGTGTTGGAAGGTGTCCATATTACCTGCAGTGTTGGAGAGCAATATGTGGCTGTTATATGTGTTGGAAGGTGTCCAGATTACCTGCAGTGTTGGAGACCAATATGTGGCTGTTATATGTGTTGGAAGGTGTCCAGATTACCTGTAGTGTTGGAGAGCAATATGTGGCTGTTATATGTGTTGGAAGGTGTCCAGATTACCTGTAGTGTTGGAGAGCAATATGTGGCTGTTATATGTGTTGGAAGGTGTCCAGATTACCTGCAGTGTTGGAGAGCAATATGTGGCTGTTATATGTGTTGGAATGTGTCCAGATTACCTGCAGTGTTGGAGAGCAATATGTGGCTGTTATATGTGTTGGAAGGTGTCCAGATTACCTGCAGTGTTGGAGAGTAATATGTGGCTGTTATATGTGTTGGAAGGTGTCCCGATTACCAGTAGTCTTGGAGAGCAATATGTGGCTGTTATATGTGTTGGAAGGTGTCCAGTATACCTGTAGTCTTGGAGAGCAATATGTGGCTGTTATATGTGTTGGAAGGTGTCCAGGTTACCTGTAGTCTTGGAGAGCAGTATGTGGTTGTTATATGTATTGGAAGGTGTCCAGGTTACCTGTTGTCTTGGAGAGCAGTATGTAGCTGTTATATGTGTTGGAAGGTCTCCAGATAACCTGCAGTGTTGGAGAGCAATATGTGGCTGTTATATGTGTTGGAAGGTGTCCAGATTACCTGTAGTCTTCGAGAGCAATATGTAGCTGTTATATGTATTGGAAGGTGTCCAGGTTACCTGTAGTCTTGGAGAGCAATATGTAGCTGTTAAAGGTCTTGGAAGGTGTCCAGATTACCTGTAGTGTCGGAGACCAATATGTAGCTGTTATATGTGTTGGAAGGTGTCCAGATTACCTGTAGTGTCGGAGAGCAATATGTGGCTGTTATATGTGTTGGAAGGTGTCCAGGTTACCTGTCGTGTCGGAGAGCAATATGTGGCTGTTATATGTGTTGGAAGGTCTCCAGATAACCTGCAGTGTTGGAGAGCAATATGTGTCTGTTATATGTGTTGGAAGGTGTTCCGATTACCTGTAGTCTTGGAGAGCAATATGTGGCTGTTATATGTATTGGAAGGTGTCCAGATTACCTGTAGTCTTGGAGAGCAATATGTGGTTGTTAAAGGTCTTGGAAGGTGTCCAGATTACCTGTAGTGTCGGAGAGCAATATGTAGCTGTTATATGTGTTGGAAGGTGTCCAGATTACCTGTAGTGTTGGAGAGCAATATGTGGCTGTTATATGTGTTGGAAGGTCTCCAGATAACCTGCAGTGTTGGAGAGCAATATGTGGCTGTTATATGTGTTGGAAGGTGTCCCGATTACCTGTAGTCTTGGAGAGCAGTATGTGGCTGTTATATGTGTTGGAAGGTGTCCAGATTATCTGTAGTGTCGGAGAGCAATATGTGGTTGTTATGTGTGTTGGAAGGTGTCGATATTACATGCAGTGTTGGAGAGCAATAAGTGTATGTTATATGTGTTCGAAGGTGTCCAGATTACCTGTAGTGTCGGAGAGCAATACGTGGTTGTTATATGTGTTGGAAGGTCTCCAGATTACCTGTAGTGTCGGAGAGCAATATGTGGTTGTTATGTGTGTTGGAAGGTGTCCATATTACCTGCAGTGTTGTAAAGCAATATGTGCCTGTTTAATATGTTGGAAGGTGTCTAGATTACCTGTAATGTTGAAGAGCAATATGTGTATGTTATATGTGTTGGAAGGTGTCCAGATTACCTGTAGTGTTGGAGAGCAATATGTGGCTGTAATATGTGTTGGAAGGTGTCCAGATTACCTGTAGTGTTGGAGAGCAATATGTGGTTGTTATATGTGTTGGAAGGTGTCCAGATTACCTGTAGTGTCGGAGAGCAATATGTGGTTGTTATGTGTGTTGGAAGGTGTCCAGATTACCTGCAGTGTTGTAAAGCAATATGTGCCTATTTAATATGTTGGAAGGTGTCTAGATTACCTATAATGTTGAAGAGCAATATGTGTATGTTATATGTGTTGGAAGGTGTCCAGATTACCTGCAGTGTTGGAGAGCAATATGTGACTGTAATATGTGTTTGAAGGTGTCCGGATTACCTGTAGTGTTGGAGAGCAATATGTGGCTGTTATATGTGTTGGAAGGTGTCCAGATTACGTGTAGTGTTGGAGAGCTATATGTGGCTGTTATGTGTGTTGGAAGGTGTCCAGATTACCTGTAGTGTCGGAGAGCAATATGTGGCTGTTATATGTGTTGGAAGGTGTCCAGATTACCTGCAGTGTTGGAGAGCAGTATGTGGCTGTTGTATATGTTGGAAGGTGTCCAGATTACCTGTAGTGTTGGAGAGCAATATGTGCCTGTTATATGTGTTGGAAGGTGTCCAGATTACCTGCAGTGTTGGAGAGCAATATGTGGCTGTTATATGTGTTGGAAGGTCTCCAGATTACCTGTAGTGTCGGAGAGCAATATGTGGTTGTTATATGTGTTGAAAGGTCTCCAGAGTACCTGTAGTCTTGGAGAGCAGTATGTGGTTGTTATGTGTGTTGGAAGGTGTCAATATAACCTGCAGTGTTGGAGAGCAATAAGTGTATGTTATATGTGTTCGAAGGTGTCCAGATTACCTGTAGTGTCGGAGAGCAATATGTGGTTGTTATATGTGTTGGAAGGTCTCCAGATTACCTGTAGTGTCGGCGAGCAATATGTGGTTGTTATGTGTGTTTGAAGGTGTCCATATTACCTGCAGTGTTGTAAAGCAATATGTGGCTGTTATATGTGTTGGAAGGTGTCAATATTACCTGCAGTGTTGTAAAGCAATATGTGCCTGTTTAACATGTTGGAAGGTGTCTAGATTACCTGTAATGTTGAAGAGCAATATGTGTATGTTATATGTGTTGGAAGGTGTCCAGATTACCTGTAGTGTTGGAGAGCAATATGTGGCCGTTAGGTGTGTTGGAAGGTGTCCAGATTACCTGCACTGTTGTAGAGCAATATGTGCCTGTTTAATGTGTTGGAAGGTGTCCATAATACCTGTAGTGTTGGAGAACAATATGTGTATGTAATATGTGTTGGAAGGTGTCCAGATAGAGCAAGAAATAGATGTTCAAACACTATTCAACAATGAAATGCTTGGAATATAACAAAACAATTCTTTGGATTGAAAGTATTCCATACAAGTTATTATTGAAGTGTTTTGAAATGGTTATATGTTCTGTGATAGAATGAATATGGCGTTAAACAACGCAAACGTTGAAAACACATTTTGATGTGATTCCCCAAAGGAACGTTAAAGTGAGAAGACGATCCTCGACACTCTTTGATGTTAACATTTCAAATCTGGTATGAATATTGAACATTTTAATGAAGTAGGTTTACCTCTACATCTGGACGAGGAATTTGACCCTTCAGACGCTGTCGAAAAGTCGGAAGGACATGGAACACACGTGAGACGTCGTTCATGTTCCTGGTATGTTCCAGTAGGACACAGAACACATTTGTTCCTTGACACATCAAGATAGGACCCGCTTGGACAAGCTGTGAAATATAAGTATGTTGTGTATTTGTTTAACACGGATACCGCCTCCATTATTATTATCAAATGTTCTGTGATTCCACAAAGAATCATATACGAGGGATGGTCAAAAAAGTTCTAAGCCTAACAAACAAAACCAACAATTGTGAAAGTTTTTGTAATTATATTTTTCAACATAATTTCCCTGCTTTTCAATAAACTTCTCACATCGATAGTGAAGCTTTTCAATTCCAGTCAGTTTTCCGAAGCCACCCTGAAAACCCCATTCACGGCAGCTTAGAGGTCATCATTGTCGTCAAAGCGCTTTCCAGGAAGGTGCTCTTTCAGTTTAGGAAACAGGTGGAAATCACTTGGTGCCAGGTCTGGCGTGTATGCATGGAGGGTGGGGAAGCTCTTTGAATCCACATTGTAGCACAGCAGCCTTTGTGAGTCAAAAGATGTGAGAAGAGACATGGCAATGAAAAAGGTAGAACTCCATTAGTCAGCATTCCTCGCCGAAAGAATCGCTCAGGCCTTGGCGCAAATCAGCATAGTAGGCATCAGTAATCGTCTTTTGATTGCTAAGTAATCAAAAAGGATCACACCCTTTGCATCCCAAGATACAAGACACCAATGTTTCATCACCCGTTACTAATTTATTTTTGAATTTGACGAAATCCTCCTTAGATCGCTCTACATTTTCTCTGGCAATGTCACTTATTTTTTCCTTAAGATCAGAATTTAGAAGCTTTGGCACTCAACAAGCAGATATCTTATTCATCTGTTAATGTTCATGAAACATTGTTACAATGGATCCATGGCTCAAACTTGTGTCTCCCTCAAGTTCAGCAATGGTAATACGTCTATCTGGCAGAAAAGGTTTTTCAATCTCATTGATTCAATATTTTTGTATGGACGTTGAGGGACGTCCAGACCTAGTGTCATAATCAAGACGTGTTCTCCCAGCCTTAAACATAGCTGCCCAGCGTTTAACAGTGGACTAGCTAGGGTCCATATCCCCATACACTTGTGACGTGCGGTCATGAATTTATTCGGGAGTACTTTGCTCTAAAGTAAAAAACTTGGTGACTGCTCGGTACTCGTTCTTTTCCATTTCTGTGTCCATTTGGACCCCTATCATGTTCAACAGGCTGTCAATAACATACACACGGCCTCAACAGACCAAATACACTTGCAATGAACTCATCAATGAATGTACTACATTGACTAGTTCACTTTGTTGAAAGTTCGTCAGGCTTAAAACTGTTTGATCAGCTCTCGCACATATATTCTAAATTTACAAACACATGACACAGACGGGTACACGTCAATACGGCCAAAACACGTGACGGACATAGATTTCAAAAATCTAAAAAAATATTGTCTGAAAGACTCACTGTCAAACATTTTTCTACTTTGAGTTCAGAGACTTGTAGAGGATTAATAAAAACAAGGTCCCTACTACATCAACAATCAATAAACTTAGGATTTATTTTAAACGTTTTTTTTTCTTTGGGCCTTTTGACTTTGACATTTTGGTCGATTTGACTTTTTTGGCCGTTTGGATTTTGACAATACCCGTTCCGTGGATTAGCCGTTTTGACTACAATATACATGGACAAACTGCTTTTACTTCGAAGTAAACTTAAATACACGTTCATACGTACACAATATTATCAGTATTAAATCTGTTGTAAGTCTTCCATAAATGAATTTCAGATATTCTAAATTTACAAATACGTGCAATGAATGAATTGCTTGCCGATATTTGCATGGTTCAACTGAAGTACATATTACTTTCATACATATCTTACAAAAAAAGATGCTTGACGGTCATTGTGAAATACTTATTCCTACTTGATATTGACACGGTGAAGAAGCATGGATAGGCCTTATTTCCTGACTTATCCCTGGCATCGTATTTCACTGTGTAGTTCCCTGCTGGATAAGCCCTTCCGGGTCGCAAGCTGGAAGTCAAGGTCACATTCACGAAGCCTCCTTTTGGTGAGTCCATAGCCTTGACCTTTGGCCACGTGATGTTGATGTTTGTTTCATTTGCTTTGAGGAAATGAGTCTGACTGGGAGGACAGTTGATGATGACTGGTGGTGATGTGTCTAGGAAGAAAACAACTCTTTCAGGGTTGTCGAAACATTGATATCATGAGCATCGATCCACGCAGTTGGGATACGATGACATGCATCAACCAAGTACCGATCGGAGTTTCTGTTAGTTCAGGGTGTTTGCAAGGATTATGGTTATGCCCTGGCACACCATGAGTTGAATTTCTAACGGTGCTTGACAATTTCACGTTCAGAACAAATAAGAATGTGAGAAATTATTACACGGATCTCCGGCAAATACTGTGTTTATTTCAACGAGTGTATTTCCAAGTGAATCGTGAATCAAAGGTTGGGTGAAACAAAGCAGGTCAGTGTGACATACACAGTAAATACTGATCTACATAGATGATACTTACCTTTCCAGGTAACACTGACCTGAACAAAATATACTGACCTACACAGGTACATGTATGACTGACCTACACAGGTCCGACCAGGAAACAGGTGATACTGAACCACACAGGTGATACTGACCTACACAGGTGATACTGAACTTCCAAGGTGATACTGAACTACACAGGTGAGACTGACCTACACAGGTGATACTGACCTACACAGGTGAGACTGACCTACACAGGTGAGACTGACCTACACAGGTGAGACTGACCTACACAGGTGAGACTGACCTACACAGGTGATACTGACCTACACAGGTGAGACTGACCTACACAGGTGTGACTGACATACACAGGTCCGAACAGGAAACAAGTGATACAAACCTACACAGGTGATACTGAACTTCCAAGGTGATTCTGAACTACACAGGTGATTTTTATCTACACAGGTGATATTGAACTATACAGGTGATACTGACCTACACAGGTGATACTGACCTACACAGGTTATCCTAGACAGGTGATATTGAACTACACAAGTTTTACGTACCTACACAGGTGATACTGACCTACACAGGTGATACTGAACTTCACACGTTATACATACCTACACAGGTGATTGACTCCGACCACGTCTCATCAGACTGACAGGTCCTCTCTCTGATACCAAAGCTGGGCCCGAACCCGGACTCACATGACAAGCTACAGGAGGTGCCCGTCCTGACAGAGGTGGTGCTACAGCTGAGGTGTCCGTTGTTCACGTGTTGGGGAACCAGGCACTTCTTCTCTGTGAATCAAATTATTACTATGACATTTTTATTTTCATAAATGATTCAAGTATTTAAGAATGTGTTGCAATGATGAAGTACATATCACACATAGCACTGATTATACTGACTGGGTCCATTAGATTTAAGGACTGACTGTGTATTTGTTTCGCTTAATTGAGGTATGAATCGAAAAATCGATATGCAAACTGTATGAATCCGCGCAGTTTGGACAATGAATATGCATGAAAGTCGCTAAATGTCCTGTGCATGACGATACACGTGAGCGGAAAGGGAATTCCCTCGACTGTAATGTTGGGATTCCCCGACATTCCGCAGTAATATAAGTAGTGCGCCTCGGTGGGCGTGGCTTAATTTTTTACATTCCTTTCGGAAATGAATGCAATAACACGTGACCAATTCAGCTATTCAGGTGAGGTGAGGTGAAATGGGGTTTAACGTCGCGTCCAAGATTATTGCACTTATATAGAGACGTGCATGTACGTGTGTGTCTGCTTGTACTAGTCCGGACTGATGCCGATTTATAGTGCTATAGCTCACTGAGATACCATGCCACAGTTTAACATGAATACCCCACTCAGACACAGTATACTGACTCCGAGCCGACCAGTCCTTGTTTTAGCCCCTAAATACCGAGCGCCAGACAGGGTAACAACAAGTACCATCTTTCAACGTCTTTTGGTATGACGCGGCCGGGGATCGAACCCCGGACCTTCTGCAGTCCGGGCGGACGCTCTACTACTAGACCACGGAGGCGGTCTCTCAGCTATTCAGAATGCAGGAATTTCAATGAACACAACGAAAATAAATATATGCATATACATGTGATTGTACAATGTGCGGAAGTTCAGAAGTACTTCTAAAAGTACATAACATTACCAATACATTTTTGGATAGATCAAGTACCACCTTAAGATCAGCGATATGAAATATACGAATGTAATCATGTCATGGGATACAATTTGATAAATAATTTGTTTTAATTTGCAAATACATCGGACAACAGAAATGTACGTGCGCTTCCTTTTCAATCACCTTGCATTTTTACATATCGATTTGAATTGAAAATATAAATTGTCATTGCAGAAGAATAACTTGTCTAGACTATCCACAGAAAAAGTGTCAGTTTGGCGCGAAGGACAAAATAGCTGTGCAAAATACATGTATATGAATGGACCACGGAAAAATCAGTGATGACACCATGTGTTAGCGAAAAAGGTAAGAATTTCCTGCCCTGGCGGTAGCACCCGCTATTCATACAATTTAAATAAAACGTAGGTTCCATTGCCTGACGCCGCGCAGCAGAACTCCTGCCATCCGGTGGTGGCCTCTAAACAAACCAGACAATTAGGGGACTGTGTTCTTGATTCCATTTGCATGTCATCGTGCAGTCATCCAGCAAAACTAAGTTCTACATCTATCGTGCTTGAGAGTGATGTAACGGGCACATACAAAGATTTCTCCTTTAAATTCACAATCTTTCAAACACACACCTATCCTACATATCGTCTTTAAAGCCTTGTAAAAGTGTGAATTCTTTTCATTTTTGTAAGCGGGTTGGGTTGTACATATAGACTGCATAGAAGGGACTTTCTTTGATATCCAGATGACAATCTGTGATTTTTAACTGAACCAACAACACATGGTGTAAGGAAGAGAATTTATGAATGTCAGCTTCTTTATTATGAGGATCACAATGTTTCAGAGTACATTCTTACTCCTTCATCAGGTGAAGCATGTATTCCGAAACGTTGTGTTCCTCATAATAAGGAAGTTGACATCCATATATTCTCTTCCTTATGTGTATCACTTCTAAATGCCTTTCAAAGGCCTAACAAGTGGTGTAGGTTATATATGACGTTGGGTTAAAATAGTTTTTCAGTTCAAAAGTTTGGATACTGGCGGACGGCAGAGAAACAACATGACACATTCACATCGAAGGTAAATCACAATAACCATGCTCTTGTCAGTTCATTCCTCACCTATGCATGATGGTGGTGCTGTCCAAGTTGCATTATCCAAACACGTGACCGTCTTCACCCCAGGCTGTAGTTTGTATCCATTGCCACACAGAAGACCACAGACTGCACCAATAACTTGAGGGGCATCGGTACAGTTCTAGAGGCCATGGGACACAGAGGAAGGAGGGGTACATGTTTTTGCTATAAGAATGGAATAAGCATTTCACTGAATATATATTAGATGCCCATATTTAACATCCAATATTCATCAAATGCATGCTCTTTATTCCATTTTGACTCGTTACAGTTTCCAAATTTGACTGTTTATTGCTCATTTAATTAGAGAATTGTTGAGGTAATACTTATCTCGATAACATATTAACATTTAAGCAACTAGGAAGTATTATCAGTAAGTATTTTACAATATTGATGTTTCAAATGTTGGTTTCAAATTGCCACATTGTGGTTTCATTAATGATTGTAAGCAAGTATAAGCAGAGGACTTAGGTAAGAAAAGACCTTAGCATCTTAGTTATAAAGTCATAATTAAGTCGTAGTTTAAAACAAATTCCAAATGGTGCCAGGTCTGGCGAGTATGCATGGAGGGTGGGGAAGCTCTTCGAATCCACATCGTAGCACAGCAGCCTTTGTGAGTCAAAAGGTGTGAGAAGAGACATGGCCATGAAAAAGAGAGAACTCCATCAGTCAGCATTCCTCGCTGAAAGAATCGCTCAGGCCTTGGCGCAAATCAGCATAGTAGGCATCAGTAATCGTCTTTTGATTGCTAAGTAATCAAAAAGGATCACACCCTTTGCATCCCAAGATACAAGACGCCAATGTTTCATCACCCGTTACTAATCTCTTTTTGAATTTGACGAAATCCTCCTTAGATCGTTCTACATTTTTTTGTGGCAATGTCACTTATTTTTTCCTTAAGATCAGAATTTAGAAGCTTTTGCTCCCAACAAGCAGATATCTTATTCATCTGTTAATGTTCATGAAAAAATTGTTACAATGGATCCATGGCTCAAACTTGTGTCTTCCTCAAGTTCAGCAATGGTAATACGTCTATCCGACAGAAAAGGTTTTTCAATCTCATTGATTCAATATTTTTTTATGGACGTTGAGGGACGCCCAGACCTAGTGTCATCATCAAGACGTGTTCTCCCAGCCTTAAACATAGCTGCCCAGCGTTAAACAGTGGACTAGCTAGGGTCCATATCCCCATACACTTGTGACGTGCGGTCATGAATTTATTTATTATTAAAGTAAAAAACTTGGTGACTGCTCGGCACTTGTTCTTTTCCATGTATGTGTCCATTTGGACCCCTATCATGTTCAAAGGGCTGTCACTAATATGCACACGGCCTAAACAGACCAAATACACTTGCAAAGAACTCCTCAAACAATGTACTACATGACTAGTTCACTTTGTTGAAAGTTCGTCAGGCTTAAAACTGTTTGATCAGCTCTCGCACATATATTCTAAATTTACAAACACATGACACAGACGGGTACACGTCAATACGGCCAAAACACGTGACAGACATAGATTTCAATCTAAAAAATATTGTCTGAAAGACTCACTGTCAAACATTTTTCTACTTTGAGTTTAATGACTTGTAGAGGATTAATAAAAACAAGGTCCCTACTACATCAACAATCAACAAACTTAGGGTTTATTTTGGCCGGGTTTTTTTTTTGTCTTTGGGCCTTTTGACTTTGACATTTTGGCCGATTTGACTTTTTTGGCCGTTTGGATTTTGACAATACCCATTCCGTGGATTAGCCGTTTTGACTACAATCCACATAGACGAATTGCTTTTACTTCGAAGTAAACTGAAATACACGTTCATACGTATACAATATTATTAGTATTAAATGTGTTGTAATTCTTCCATAAATGAATTTCAGATATTCTAAATTTACAAATACATGCAATGAATGAATTGCTTGCCAATATTTGCGTGGTTCAACTGAAGTACATATTACTTTCATACATATCTTACAAAAAAAGATGCTTGAAGGCCATTGTAAACTTATTCCTACTTGATATCGACACGGTGAAGAAGCATGGATAGGCCTTATTTCCTGACTTATCCCTGGCATCATATTTCACCGTATAGTTCCCTGCTGGATAAGCCCTTCCGGGTCGCAAGCTGGAAGTCAAGGTCACATTCACGAAGTCTCCTTTTGGTGAGTCGATAGCCTTGACCTTTGACCACGTGATGTTGATGCTTGTTTCATTTGCTTTGAGGAAATGAGTCTGACTGGGAGGACAGTTGATGATCGCGGGAGGTGATGTGTCTGAGAATAAAGCAACTCTTTCAGGGTTGTCGAAACATGAATTGTTTGTTTGTTGTTTAACACCGCACTCAACAATAGTCCAGCTGTATGACGGTGGTTTGTAAATAATCGAGTTTTGACCAGACAAAGCAGTGATTGATATCATGAGCATCGATCCACGCAGTTGGGATACGATGACATGCATCAACCAAGTGCCGATCTAGGTTTCTGTTAGTTCAGAGTGTTTGCAAGGATTATGGTTATGCTCTGGCACACCATGAGTTGAATTTCTCACGTTGCTTGACAATTTTACGTTCAGAACAAATAAGAATGTGAGAAATTATTACACGGATCTCCGGCAAATACTGTGTTTATTTCAACGAGTGTATTTCAAAGTGTACCTTAAATCAAAGGTTGGGTGAAACAAAGCTGGTCAGTGTGACATACACAGTTAATACTGATTTAAATAGATGATACTGCACAAAATATACTGGCCTACACAGGTGATACTGACCTACACAGGTGTGACAGACATACACACGTCCGAACAGGAAACAAGTGATACAAACCTACACAGGTGATACTGAACTTCCAAGGTGATACTGAACTACACAGGTGACTTTTATCTACACAGGTGATACTGACCTACACAGGTGTGACTGACATACACAGGTCCGAACAGGAAACAAGTGATACAAACCTAACTAGGTGATACTGACCTAAACAGGTGATACTGACCTACACATGTGATACTGAACTTCCAAGGTGATACTGAACTACACAGGTGATTTTTATCTACACAGGTGATATTGAACTATACAGGTGATACTGACCTACATAGGTGATACTGACCTACACAGGTGATCCTAGACAGGTGATATTGAACTATACAGGTGATACTGACCTACACAGGTGATACTGACCTACACAGGTGATCCTACACAGGTGATATTGAACTATACAGGTGATACTGACCTACACAGGTGATACTGACCTACACAGGTGATCCTACACAGGTGATATTGAACTATACAGGTGATACTGACCTACACAGGTGATATTGAACTACAAAGGTGATACTGACCTACACAGGTGTGACTGACATACACAGGTCCGAACAGGAAACAAGTGATACAAACGTAAACAGGTGATACTGACCTAAACAGGTGATACTGACCTACACATGTGATACTGAACTTCCAAGGTGATACTGAACTTCCAAGATGATACTGAACTTCCAAGGTGATACTGAACTTCCAAGGTGATACTGAACTTCCAAGGTGATACTGAACTTCCAAGGTGATTCTGAACTACACAGGTGATTTTTATCTACACATGTGATACTTACCTACACAGGTGTGACTGACCTACACAGGTGATCCTACACAGGTGATATTGAACTATACAGGTGATACTGACCTACACAGGTGATACTGACCTACACAGGTGATCCTACACAGGTGATATTGAACTATACAGGTGATACTGACCTACACAGGTGATACTGACCTACACAGGTGATCCTACACAGGTGATATTGAACTATACAGGTGATACTGACCTACACAGGTGATATTGAACTACAAAGGTGATACTGACCTACACAGGTGTGACTGACATACACAGGTCCGAACAGGAAACAAGTGATACAAACGTAAACAGGTGATACTGACCTAAACAGGTGATACTGACCTACACATGTGATACTGAACTTCCAAGGTGATACTGAACTTCCAAGATGATACTGAACTTCCAAGGTGATACTGAACTTCCAAGGTGATACTGAACTTCCAAGGTGATACTGAACTTCCAAGGTGATTCTGAACTACACAGGTGATTTTTATCTACACATGTGATACTTACCTACACAGGTGTGACTGACCTACACAGGTGATCCTACACAGGTGATATTGAACTATACAGGTGATACTGACCTACACAGGTGATACTGACCTACACAGGTGATCCTACACAGGTGATATTGAACTACACAGGTTATACGTACCTACACAGGTGATACTGAACTACACAGGTGATACTGAACTACAAAGGTGATACTGACAAACACAGGTGATACTTATCTACACACATTATTCTGACCTACAAAGGTTATACGTACCTACACAGGTGATTGACTCCGACCACGTCTCATCAGACTGACAGGTCCTCTCTCTGATACCAAAGCTGGGCCCGAACCCGGACTCACAGGACAAGCTACAGGAGGTGCCCGTCCTGACAGAGGTGGTGCTACAGCTGAGGTGTCCGTTGGTCACATGTTGCGGAACCAGGCACTTCTTCTCTGTGAATGAAATAATTAATATTGACATTTTTATTTTCATAAGTGATTCAAGTATTTAAGAATGTGTTGCAATGATGAAGTACATATCACACATAGCACTGATTATACTGACTGGGTCCATTATATTAAAGGACTGACTGTGTATTTGTTTCGCTTAATTGAGGTATGAATCGAAAAATCGATATGCAAACTGTATGAATCCGCGCAGTTTGGACAATGAATATGTCCTGTGCATGACGATACACGTGAGCGGAAAGGGAATTCCCTCGACTGTAATGTTGGGATTCCCCGACATTCCGCAGCAATATAAGTAGTGCGCCTCGGTGGGCGTGGCTTAATTTTTTTACATTCACTGGGAAATGAATGCAATAACACGTGACCAATTCAGCTATTCAGGTGAGGTGAGGTGAAATGGGGTTTAACGTCGCGTCCAAGATGATTGCACTTATATAGCGACGTGCATGTACGTGTGTGTCTGCTTGTACTAGTCCGGACTGATGCCGATTTATAGTGCTATAGCTCACTGAGATACCATGCCACAGTTTAACATGAATACCCCACTCAGACACAGTATACTGACTCCGAGCCGACCAGTCCTTGTTTTAGCCCCTAAATACCGAGCGCCAGACAGGGTAACAACAAGTACCATCTTTCAACGTCTTTTGGTATGACGCGGCCGGGGATCGAACCCCGGACCTTCCGCAGTCCGGGCGGACGCTCTACTACTAGACCACGGAGGCGGTCTCTCAGCTATTCAGAATGCAGGAATTTCAATGAACACAACGAAAATAAATATATGCATATACATGTGATTGTACAATGTGCGGAAGTTCAGAAGTACTTCTAAAAGTACATAACATTACCAATACATTTTTGGATAGATCAAGTACCACCTTAAGATCAGCGATATGAAATATACGAATGTAATCATGTCATGGGATACAATTTGATAAATAATTTGTTCTAATTTGCAAATACATCGGACAACAGAAATGTACGTGCGCTTCCTTTTCAATCACCTTGCATTTTTACATATCGATTCGAATTGAAAATATAAATTGTCATTGCAAAAGAATAACTTGTCTAGACTATCCACAGAAAAAGTGTCAGTTTGGCGCGAAGGACAAAATAGCTGTGCAAAATACATGTATATGAATGGACCACTGAAAAATCAGTGATGACACCATGTGTTAGCGAAAAAGGTAAGAATTTCCTGCCCTGGCGGTAGCACCCGCCATTCATACAATTTAAATAAAACGTAGGTTCCATTGCCTGACGCCGCGCAGCAGAACTCCTGCCATCCGGTGGTGGCCTCTAAACAAACCAGACAATTAGGGGACTGTGTTCTTGATTCCATTTGCATGTCATCGTGCAGTCATCCAGCAAAACTAAGTTCTACATCTATCGTGCTTGAGAGTGATGTAACGGGCACATACAAAGATTTCTCCTTTAAATTCACAATCTTTCAAACACACACCTATCCTACATATCGTCTTTAAAGCCTTGTAAAAGTATGAATTCTTTTCATTTTTTTAAGCGGGTTGGGTTGTACATATAGACTGCATAGAAGGGACTTTCTTTGATATTCAGATGACAATCTGTGATTTTTAACTGAACCAACAACACATGGTGTAAGGAAGAGAATTTATGAATGTCAGCTTCTTTATTATGAGGATCACAATGTTTCAGAGTACATTCTTACTCCTTCATCAGGTGAAGCATGTATTCCGAAACGTTGTGTTCCTCATAATAAGGAAGTTGACATCCATATATTCTCTTCCTTATGTGTATCACTTCTAAATGCCTTTCAAAGGCCTAACACGTGGTGTAGGTTATATATGACGTTGGGTTAAAATAGTTTTTCAGTACAAAAGTTTGGATACTGGCGGACGGCAGAGAAACAACATGACACATTCACATCAAAGGTAAATCACAATAACCATGCTCTTGTCAGTTCATTCCTCACCTATGCATGATGGTGGTGCTGTCCAAGTTGCATTATCCAAACACGTGACCGTCTTCACCCCAGGCTGTAGTTTGTATCCATTGCCACACAGAAGACCACAGACTGCACCAATAACTTGAGGGGCATCGGTACAGTTCTAGAGGCCATGGGACACAGAGGAAGGAGGGGTACATTTTTTTGCTATAAGAATGGAATAAGCATTTCACTGAATATATATTAGATGCCCATATTTAACATCCAATATTCATCAAATATATGCTCTTTATTCCATTTTGACTCGTTACAGTTTCCAAATTTGACTGTTTATTGCTCATTTAATTAGAGAATTGTTGAGGTAATACTTATCTCGATAACATATTAACATTTAAGCAACTAGGAAGTATTATCAGTAAGTATTTTACAATATTGATGTTTCAAATGTTGGTTTCAAATTGCCACATTGTGGTTTCATTAATGATTATAAGCAAGTATAAGCAGAGGACTTTAGTCAGAAAAGACCTTAGCATCTTAGTTATAAAGTTATAATTAAGTCGTAGTTTAAAACAAATTCGAGGGACACAAAGTGCTTGTGTTTGACTGAGTGTGACGTCACGTGTTTGGCGACATCAGGCTGAGAAGTCTTTCGTGTAAAAGTCGTGATGTTGGTTTTAGAACTTGCAAAATACGCTCTATTTTCCTCAGGTGGCCTTTGCAGCTATACATGTGCCGTCTTGTTATTCATGCATGTCACGTATAATCATGACACTTCATTGTGCGATCCTGTCATTCCAGTGGCATTATTTTGTACCTGCTCAAAAACGTTATACATATACCACAAATTATTTCGTAGTTAAAACCAAATTGAGTGTGTGGCTTTAATCTGTGTGTCCATAATAGCAGGACATGTGGGCTTTATGTATGCAGTCCGAAGTAATGCATATGGTAGGGGTTTAAGGATGATATTTGGGATCAAGATATATTTTGTATGGCAACTTTGCATCAATACATTCTTCTCATAATATATAGTGTCACTATATTTCTAGTTTTCTAGGAACATTTGTTGTATTTGATGTCATATTATATCTTTTCATTATGACAATGTGCATATCAGAAACATACCAACACAGACAGCCTGAGTAGACCAGGTTTCGCTTGACAAGCACTTGACCTCAGATGAAGGTGAGCTTAGTATATAGCTAGCATTACAACGAAGGTAACACACATCATTCAATTTGTGGTGTGTGCTGGTTCCACATTGAATGACACCATTACCAACTTTTGGTGGAGATGGACATCTGATTTCTAAAAAAAGAAGCAACTTCCAAAGGTATTTGACAGTGAGGTGATACTATCTAATATTGTAAGGAATGCAGACAGGACAAACAACAGAGAAACTGACCCAATAAATACAATTGACCTTTCTGGTAGACATTTGAAAATGAATAAACATTTATGATATTGAAGGTGGGTGGTTAACTATTACTAGTATTGATTGAAAACTCTAAATGCATTGTGAAAATACACAGTTCCAGAGCAGAGAAGACTCCGTAACATACCTCTACAATAGCCCCCAAGAGACAGTTGTCCATTATTGCAAGATGAAGAGCCACCGTCAGCTGTGTATCCATGACTACAGCTGAGGTTACAAGACACTTGCCCGCCCCAGGTTTGGCTACAACTGATACTTCCAAAAGGCACCTTTGAACTAGAACAGTCTGAAAAAAAGATTATGAAACACATTAAGGCAATGGGTATTGGGTCTTCATTGTAAATAGTCCCTTGTCATTGAGTAAAGTAAAACGACGTTAGGTCTGATAAACAAATTTCAGATTTAGAGTAATTGTGTGTTGTGCTTCAGTAATAATCAGGAAGTAAGGTTTCCAGACTATCTGGGTTTTGATTGACAGGTTACTGTGTGCAGCTAAGGGCTGACTAAATTGGTTACGTGGTCCACATAAAATGCAAAGTCGACGTCAAATAAACGTGAGAAAACCATTTTCATAATCATAAGAAATCTTTGCTGAAAGCAGAATCCAGTGTACGATTCTGACTTCATCATAAGCATGTGAATCAACATAAAAATGGTGATGATACCAGGTTTTTGCAAAATGGTAAGCGTATCCTTATCCCAACGGTGACACATGCTTGTGATATTATCTGAACCGTACAATGCACTGTGCTTTTGGTGGAGATTGTTTCATCTATTCCACAGTTAACATTCGGGCCTCACATGTGGCATTGTGGGATTTGCAATTATTCCAAGTTCTTTTATCAACCAGTAATGTAGTGATGCTTACATATAATGATTATGTTATCTGAGGCCTCGTCAGCGGGCACAACTACCTAGACTTTGGGTGACAGCTGGCTGGGACAAAATGGGTTTATTCCTTTTCTGTTTCTTCTTCTGTGCATATCGGGTTTCCTTTTTGTGCATTCTACCAATGGCAGCATCAGGCACTGTCTTATCATCCCACAATGAAAGACATTCAGTCGGTTCTCTATTCTCTCTTCTCTATTGGCCCATGTTTTAGCATATGCTTCAACAGCATCCATAACTATTTAAAAGTGGGCAAATATTTACAGATAAAGCATACAGTACAAAACCGTTTGAAGACATATTATGTCAAACTTCAACAGCCAAATATGGCATTGAATGTACCCTTTATGGACTTATTTATGTTGGAGAAACACAACAGAAAGTATCGACTCGAATCAGCCAGTATAGATAGGAAATGAACAGAAATGTTTCCAACTGTGACTACCAACGTTTCAATTCTGAAAATCACTCCATCCTTTGCATGAACGTAAGTAACAACAAGATAAAAGTATCTCTATCCAACGAACTGCCAACGTCAATATACTGAGGACGATGATGCAGCCAGGGTCACAAGAAAGGCCAAAGGCGATATGATACCATTCGGTTACAAGATTTGTTGCCTCTCCTTCAGAAACCATTGGGACAACACACCTGCAAAGCAAAGCCGATAATTGTTCTTTGTTTTAATAACACACTGTGTGTATCGTCTACATGCTGTGCGATTTCAGTCAGGAACCTCAGGCTGGTCTGCTCCAAATGGTAAGGTACTAGTACTTTTCAACTTTCTCTCAAACTTGTTCTTCTTCAAGTTTGGCTTACCCTGGAACAAGACTGTGTGTCTACAAATGACAAGGCCAGTTGGAGACTGGTGGATATGGCTGTTATAGGCATGACATCAGCTGATGATCTCACGAAAGCGCTTGTCTACTGGAACTCCTAGTATGCAGGTGTCGTTCAGTTCGTCCTTGTGCCAGTGTCGCCTGTGTCACACGTGTGTTTCCTTATGGTTAGCTGTGTTGTCAACAGAGGCATGTACCTGGCTGCAATGGCCGCAAGCTTGATAATTACAGCAACCGCTAGAGATGATGTCCTCATCTCTGCCATTACTGTGACAGTCACAAGATGGCGGTCCCCACGGAAACCACAATTTTTTGTATTTTCGAGGTGGAATACGAATTGAGTGTTCACCTTCGATGAAATAAATTATACGTGTTTGTAGGTGAGTGACCAAGAACGTCATTGGTATGTAGATCTTGAAACTATGATATATAATGAAGAAGTTCACTGTGCAAAAATACTAATGGTGAACGACGAACGTATGAGCTGATCAATACGACAATTGCAGCTACGATCGGCCCAGCTCTTACTGTACTATTACTCCCCTTACTGTGCTATAAGTCCCACGAGACCCCCAGACCTCCCTCGATTTCCCATCACCCCCCTCGAGATCAAATCAAGATGGCAGCGTATCCGGTCGCACTTCCTCGTATGCAACAGGAAACGCTGCCTTCTTGATAAAGATGATACTGTGACCAGATACTCTCCTGCTTAGTAATTCATTTTCTAAGTACATTCATCGAAAATATTTAAGTGAGACCTGTAAACGTTCAAATGAGGTTGTGAGAATAGATACTTGGAGGATACTTGCAACTGTCATCCCAACCTCCTCTTTTCTCGACCCCTGTAAGATAAAAGAAATAGAGAGTGACTGGGTGGGATCTGTCATTAATGTATTCTGTGAAGATTCAATCTTTATCTCTACACTATAAGACCGGGGGATGGCTTGTGCATCGTTCAGGAATTACAGGAACTGTTAGTCCTTTTAGCTTCCTCCTTTCATCCTGATATAAACTACCGGCCCAAAAAATATATAAAATTAAATTGGTTTTGACCAAACACGTACTGTGTACTGGGTGTATACTTTCTTTTCCCGCCAGTTTAGTTAACATTACATTAAATTTAAAAATTTCCCTAGTTTTGTTAGCGTCCCTCTATGACAATGACAGTCCCACACTACAACATTGGTCGGTGCGAAGAAGGTGAAGGACAAGTCCACAATCAGGTGCAACGACACATGAAAAAGTCTTCGATTGAGGGTATAATTAGTCTCATGAAACAACAATCACCCAGGTAAATATATACTAACATAGCAATCTATTTAGATAGATTTAGAGAACTGGCAAAATTACAGCTTTTTCCTAATTATATGTATATATACTCAACAACAAAAGTTCCTGTGACAACAATATTTTAGTGTATTTTTCAAACAAGTAAAGTTTGGTTTTCAATATTGTAGTACATGTATGGAATCAAGTCACAAAAACGCAACTGCTACAGAAAAGCATGCATTCCATGTAAAAGTTGACTTTTATGCAAGCCCCATGCATTTCACTACCCAAGAATGGGTATAAAAACATGTGCGGTAACGGGATTCCATATGCATTGTTTAGCATCGTGCTGACAACAACCACTCAGATAAACAACAAAATTACGCAATTATTCAACATTACGAAATGCCACGCCTGTCCGAAAATAAGCGTCTGCGAGCCATTGGTATGCTTGAAGCAGGATCGAGTCAACGTGATGTTGCAAGACAATGTAACGTCCACAGAAACACCATTTGGTATTTATGGCAACGTTGGCAACAGCCAAATGCAGTCAGAGACCATCCTCGGAGTGGCAGGCCACGCGTAACCAATAATCGACAAGACAACTGGATTCGAACAACACACCTACGAAATCGATTCCAGCCAGCAACAGTGACTGCAAGAAGCATCCCTGGCCTTCGACGAATATCTTCACAAACCGTACGTCGCCGCCTCAAATGTGCAGAGATTGTCGCCAGAAGACCCGCAAGACGTCCCATTTTGACAGGAAACCACCGTCAAGCACATCTACAGTGGTGCAGACAGCGTCTACGCTGGACGACCATGCAGTGGGGACAAGTTCTATTCAATGACGAGTCTCGTTTTCACCTCAGCCACAGCGATGGACGGATTCGAGTGTACCGACGTCGAGGTGAACGTTACGTCAATCATTGTGTCATGGAAGAAGATCGGTTCGAGGGCGGCAGCGTTATGGTGTAGGTTGGGATTACAGCAAGACAGAGGACCCGTTTATAGTGGTAGAGGGAAATCTCAATGGACAGCGCTACCGCGACGAGATCATCAGCCCTGTTGTTCTACCGTTTTTGCGTCGTCATGGCCCAGGCATTACCTTTCAACATGACAAGCCCGGCCTCATATTGCTCGACTTGTTCAGGATTCTCTTCAACAAAAAAACGTGAATGTCATCCCCTGGCCGGCTCGCTCCCCTGATCTCTCACCAATCGAGCACATGTGGGGTGAGATGGATAGGCGCCTTTGACGTCAACCACGTGTTCCACAGACACTCCAGGAACTTCGAAACATGCTCCTGCAGATATGGACAGATATCCCACAGGACTTTGTGCGACGCCTGGTCCATTCCATTAGATGAAGATGTGTTGCTTGCATCGCAACCAGAGGTGGACACACATGCCATTGATTTGTAAATTGACATTTTGGCATGTTCATGTGTTTTTTTATGAAATCACGCATTTTCTGAAGTCAGTATGGCAAATTAAACCATTTGGACACTTACAGGAGTCTTTTATCTGTTGCAAACCGAAATTGTTTCAGATTTGGTAAAAAACATAACTTTGCATTAAATCTTATTCAATGTCACAGGAACTTTTGTTATATATATTACTCTTGTTGGTCAAAAAGCCGTTGGAGAAGTACGTATGTCTAAATCAGATAATTATTTTTTTTATTATATTAAGTGGGAGAATTTTTTAACAATATAATACACACTATTTCCACGATAACATATTCACATTCTGAATCATTAGCAAGCGCGATCTGTGCATGATGTTCTGTCACCAATTAAGGTTTGATTGTGTATTTTTTTCGGTTCATTGAGGTATGTTTTTCGATTCATACCTCAATGAACCGAAAACATATACAGTCAATGCTTATAATTAAATTCGACAACGTAAAACATGTTTTATCTACAATAGTTTAACCCAAAACAGTTGCATATATCACAACAGACAAAAATGACGACATTGATAAACATTCCAGGTGTATGAATACATACAGTGGCGTGACATGAATCAGGTGATCGTTTAACTTATGCACATAACTTGACACGCCTATACAGTCAGTAGCCAATCAACGGAGAGTGGGATTAAACAATGTTAATTGGACCTGTCAATTAAGGCAAGAGGCGTAAAGTGCAACAGTCAGACTGTAACGAATATAAGAAATATGTCCGAGAGAAGGGGCGGCTGTTTCCAATAACATGGTCATTTACTGCGTGATTCAAACATTACTTCCCTGATTACGGTAAAACACAGTTGAGAAATGCTTGTTATAAATGAAACCCGAAGACATGAAAGTTGAACCGGGGCGAGCGGGAAAAAAACGGGCGAGCGAGCCTGCACGTTTGCTGTTTCATTCATTCTCGGTCTTCGGTTTCAAAGCGTAGTTTGGACAATGAATATGCATTAAAGTCACTAAATGTCCTGTGCATGACGATACACGTAAGCAGAAAGGGAATTCCCTCGACTGTAATTTTGGGATTCCCCGACATTCCGCAGTAATAAAAGTAGTGCGCCGCGGTGGGCGTGGCTTAGTTTTTTACATTCATTGGGAAATGAATGCAATAACACGTGACCAATTCAGCTAATCAGAATGCAGGAATTTCCATGAACACAACGACAATTTAATTATACTGTAATAACGGTAAAATGATATATGGTTAGTAACAGGAAGGAAAACTAAAGACATCTTGCAACTAATGTATGAGGAACTAGTTCAGACAAAAATCTAAAGGCTCGACAGCTTCCAACAAGGTCAGCGTGAGTAAGTGTTTCTCATTGGGTCCCGTTTCAACAAAAGTGGTAAACGTCGTAGACCTGCATCACTTCAGGCTTTCCTCCCACATTAAGCTGACACGCCGTGATATAACTGGAATACCGTTAAAAGCTGCGCTGAACCCAACTCACTCGTTTGGCCCCACACCTCCCTTTGATCTAAGTGACGAACATTGTAGAATTGGAAACTGGATATGTTTATACGAAGGGGTAATAAATAAAACCAATAAAAATTATGTAGACACAACAGAATACTTTTCAACTATGATGACCTTTCTAATTGCTTAAGCCTAGAATGAAGAGTGCCTGTTCTGTCGTGTAATGGCGTACATGATTACTGACGATGTCTCTGTCCCCTTACCGTGGTGGTGTGACGGCTCTATGATATAACTTGCAGCCACCTGCAAAGGGAAAACACACACTGCTCTCGCCAACATGGTGACTGCTTTGGAAGGTCCTGGTGTCTGCTAAAACACAAAAGTAAATATTCAAACACAGAAACTGATGTCAACTGGGTATGCGAATTCGCAAGCAATAAACATTTCTGGGTGTCAGTAACCAAACCTGTGTGTTCTTCTTCCTGGATGATTAGGGTATTTGTTGTTTCTATCGTGAAAGACAATTCCCACCTGTTCACTTTGTAAAATCAATTCACTTGACTTCAAAATTTAGGGATTCTTATGTGTCACGTCTTATCAGTATTAGACTACATGTGTTGTTTCCCATAACTATCCGTCTTGGAAATGGTCGAAATATGTAATCTTATTTTTGATGAATAAATTGTGAATATATTTACACCTATTACAGACATAAAATAGAATAGAAATCAGGAAATATGGCAAGGGAGTTTTACAATAATTTTAGCACCTTAATCAATACCGTTTTCCATATCGTATCATTTGCCCCGTGGGGACCCGGGATAGAATGAGTCCCCTGCACCCCATTGCTGGTCGTAAGAGGCGTGTGTTCGTAATAATTATAATTCTTATTTTTGCACATACGTGTATTTTATTTTTCATAAATGTATTGCTTGGTCTTGGTCTTTGGAAACACAATTATTGGAATAATGTATTGCCTAGAGTCATATGCTTCTAAAGAACAACTTTAATGATTTGCAGCTATTAACACAAGATTTGACGCCATCAGCCTTTTGTTTAGAGCTAGGAAACGTACTTTAAAAATAAAGATAAACTTAATATTAGACAAAATTATTCCTATCATTTCCTTTCACCTCCAGGGGCTAAGGCAACTGGGGGTTCTTCAATCGTGGTGAGTCAGGGTTTTATTCATAGCCCTGTTCCTCTCAATACCCATCTACAAGCTATCGCAGTTCGTATCACCATACACATTGCTTTTAATCTGTGCTCTCTTTAAATTCCTCCGTCATCATCTCTTCAGCAAACTGATCTTCAAGGTTTCTGTGTTCATGTATATATAAATATGTAAATTTATCACGCGTTGAAATTGTTTCCCGCATGCGTTTGTTTGTTTGTTTGTTTGTTTTTGTAATAAATCTATATATAGTGCCTTAATTATTTGGCTGATTGACCTTTGTTTGTTATTTATTTACAATACGAATAGAAACACATCAAGCAACACTCCTGCCTTTGGTGTTTACATTTCACAACTATAGAGGCACAATCGAGCATGCTCTTTCAAAGAGCGTTATACGATTCTTGGCCAGAGGCTATGTGATCAAGGTCACAACATCCAAGGCCTCAGTAAAACTTTCAAAATGTTTACACTCCCAAAGTTGAGTTACGAAAATGATGTCGATGCAATTCCCTATTTTGATTTGAACCATATGTACAAATACTCATATGATAGTCGGAATCGTATCATTGACTCTGCTGTTAGCAGACATTTCATAGGGAAAGGGTGTTGTCGCTTTTATTATTCTAAAAGTAAACTATCGTGACTAACTTATTCATGACATGAGGAAACTTGTGAACTTGAGATTGTGAAAAAATACAGTAAAACAAATAAACTGTAATGCAGACTGTGATTTTCATACAGGGAATGGACCACGACAGGCCAGCGCAGTGGCCATAACGTGTTACAGAACAGCTCCATTGGTAAATCCTACAAAGAAACAGAAAAGTGTGTTTAGAGCACAGCCCTATTCGGTTCGTAATTACGACATCCTCAAATTGTATCGGTCGACTCTGAAACTTTAAATATAATGTTATTAATTTTAGTATATATTATTGTATCCCTGTAGTCAATAATACAAGTTTAACAAGTAGCCACATGTGTTTGTTTGTTGCAATTGTTATCGTAAACTGGTGCGCGTTTTGTAAACTATTTATTATACAACTTATTACATGTAAAACATTCAAAGTACTAAAGATAATTAAACATATTAAAAAAAGTAGTTGCTAATTACCATAGACGTATTAATAACAGTTATGTTATTACATAATAATGTTTACAACCAAAACTTAATAATTGCCGATTATCAATTTCATATCAAATAAACATATATCATTAGTTGTTTGGATAATCATCCGATGCCAGGATCATATTTCAACTTGGCTCATTGAGAAATTGGCCAAAATATACCACTGACATGATTCCGACATTACTCACGCCTAAGATATTTTGGGAACATGGTTCGTCATAAGGTATATTACACAATAAACTCTGCATGTTAAGCTATCATCATCACTTAAGTTTAAAGACTTTCAAAACTTTCACTGAACCTGTCAACTACGGGCGAATGGGTCATATTTCGTCTGCTAGCGTGCAAGTCTACTGATCTAGTTATGTATGTAGGCTGGCGAACCAGGTGTTTCCGTTCTTATCATATGATGCTTTTGCGTCTCGCGGTAGTAGGCATCGCGTTCTTCTGGTCCAAGTCTATTTTAAGCGAATTCCATCCTGCGCTAGATCAGTTCAGTTAGAGGACGATGTCGGAACAAAGAATATTATGGATAAACTCGTGCTTATATCGGAACTAGAGCGAATGTCTGTAGTGTCTAAGGCTGCCCTTTTGACTTGGTGAGTTTGTTTATATTTTTCCAATGGTTGGTTCTTCATTTTCTTTATTTTGACTTAATCTAAGCAAATTGAAGTAGTTACACCCAGTGCATTAACTGTCGAGTAAGATGTCAGAACGGGTTGAAACCAAATGGTTGTTAAATCATCAGCTAAGCATTTTTTTCGCTGTTAAGCTTTAAATTCTTTCTCGTTTTTTGGTCTTAAGTGTTCGAATTATGTATAAGTAGATTTTTTTCTAATCAGATAAGTGGATAAGGAGCAATAGTAAATGTTTTGTAATGTTTGTATATTTTAGAAATATGAAACAAGTTGATGTTTTCGTTTATCAACTTGTCCTCATGAGATGGTTTCTATATCCAACTTGTTGGGTATATTTGTTTGATAACCATGATAACACTGGATGCATTTATTTATGTTTAGACCCACAGATTATCTTTTTTTTTGTCTTGTTAAAAATGTTAAATACAACGGATGAAGTAATTATTAAAAAATGTTTTACATCATGTTTTTAGAAGATGTTGCATCTATATTATTTATATATGATCAATTTATTCAAGCATATTGGCCATGTAGTTAAACAGCAATTGGCTGATCACTCCAGCATAATTATCAATAGTTTGACAAATACACTGGTCCACTAGACAACTACACTGATCCACTAGAAAAATACACTGATCCACTAGACAAATACACTGATCCACTAGAGAAATACACTGGTTCACTAGACAAATACACTGATCTACTAGACAAATACACTGGTCCACTAGACAACTACACTGATCTACTGGACAAATACACTGATCTACTAGACAAATACACTGGTCCACTAGACAAATACACTGGTCCACTAGACAAATACACTGGTCCACTAGACAACTACACTGGTCCACTAGACAACTATACAGATCTACCAGACAAATACACTAGTCCACTAGAGAAATACACTGGTCCACTAGACAAATACACTGGTCCACTAGACAAATACACTGGTCCACTAGACAACTACACAGATCTACTAGTCAAATAGACAGGTCCATATGCCAGGAAATATTAAACAGGGGAATGTATTTGAATTGAAGTGATCTGCCCTGAACACCTGAAGTGCTCAGGGCTGTTTACACTAACAGACTGAGTGCATGACTGTATGGATGTTGTTTACACCACAGTCAGCAGTAATCCAGCTATGTCACAATGGCCTGTAAATAATCAAGTCTGGACCAGATAAACTAGTTTCAGAAATCGTCAGTGCTCAAAATTAATGGGGGTCCTTGTGACATCTCCTGTGGTTGTTGTTGGTTTGTTGTTTTTCGCCACACTCAGCAGTATTCCAGCTATATGATGATGGTCTGGAAATAATCAAGTCTTGACCAGATGATCCAGTGATTGATATCATGAGCATCGATCTACGCAATTGGGATACACTCACATGCATCAACCAAGTCAGCGAGCCTGACCACCTGATCCCGTTAGTCGCCTCTTACGGCAAGCATGAACCTGACCAGTAGTGGAGAACTGTGAACCTGACCAGCAGTGGGGCACTGTGAACCTGACCAGTAGTAGGGCACTGTGAACCTGACCAGTAGTGGGGCGCTGTGAACCTGACCAGTAGTGGGGCGCTGTGAACCTGACCAGTAGTGGGGCGCTGTGAACCTGACCAGCAGTAGGGCGCTGTGAACCTGACCAGCAGTCGGGCACTGTGAACCTGACCAGTAGTGGGGTGCTGTGAACCTGACCAGCAGTCGGGCACTGTGAACCTGACCAGCAGTGGGGCACTGTGAACCTGACCAGCAGTGGGGCACTGTGAACCTGACCAGCAGTGGGGCGCTGTGAACCTGACCAGCAGTGGGGCGCTGTGAACCTGACCAGCAGTGGGGTGCTGTGAACCTGACCAGCAGTGGGGCGCTGTGAACCTGACCAGCAGTGGGGCGCTGTGAACCTGACCAGTAGTGGGGCGCTGTGAACCTGACCAGTAGTGGGGCGCTGTGAACCTGACCAGCAGTGGGGCGCTGTGAACCTGACCAGCAGTGGGGTGCTGTGAACCTGACCAGCAGTGAGGCGCTGTGAACCTGACCAGCAGTGGGGCGCTGTGAACCTGACCAGCAGTGGGGCGCTGTGAACTGTGAACCTGACCAGCAGTGGGGCACTGTGAACCTGACCAGCAGTCGGGCGCTGTGAACCTGACCAGCAGTCGGGCGCTGTGAACTGTGAACCTGACCAGCAGTGGGGTGCTGTGAACCTGACCAGCAGTGGGGCGCTGTGAACCTGACCAGCAGTGGGGCGCTGTGAACTGTGAACCTGACCAGCAGTGGGGCACTGTGAACCTGACCAGCAGTCGGGCGCTGTGAACCTGACCAGCAGTGGGGCGCTGTGAACTGTGAACCTGACCAGCAGTGGGGCACTGTGAACCTGACCAGCAGTGGGGTGCTGTGAACCTGACCAGCAGTGGGGCGCTGTGAACCTGACCAGCAGTCGGGCGCTGTGAACCTGACCAGCAGTGGGGCGCTGTGAACTGTGAACCTGACCAGCAGTGGGGCACTGTGAACCTGACCAGCAGTCGGGCACTGTGAACCTGACCAGCAGTCGGGCGCTGTGAACCTGACCAGCAGTGGGGCGCTGTGAACCTGACCAGCAGTGGGGCGCTGTGAACCTGACCAGCAGTCGGGCACTGTGAACCTGACCAGCAGTGGGGTGCTGTGAACCTGACCAGCAGTGGGGCGCTGTGAACCTGACCAGCAGTGGGGCGCTGTGAACTGTGAACCTGACCAGCAGTGGGGCGCTGTGAACCTGACCAGCAGTGGGGCGCTGTGAACTGTGAACCTGACCAGCAGTGGGGTGCTGTGAACCTGACCAGCAGTGGGGCGCTGTGAACCTGACCAGCAGTGGGGCGCTGTGAACTGTGAACCTGACCAGCAGTGGGGCACTGTGAACTGTGAACCTGACCAGCAGTGGGGCGCTGTGAACCTGACCAGCAGTGGGGCGCTGTGAACTGTGAACCTGACCAGCAGTGGGGCGCTGTGAACCTGACCAGCAGTCGGGCGCTGTGAACCTGACCAGCAGTGGGGCGCTGTGAACTGTGAACCTGAACAGCAGTGGGGCACTGTGAACCTGACCAGCAGTGGGGCGCTGTGAACTGTGAACCTGACCAGCAGTGGGGCACTGTGAACCTGACCAGCAGTCGGGCACTGTGAACCTGACCAGCAGTCGGGCGCTGTGAACCTGACCAGCAGTGGGGCACTGTGAACCTGACCAGCAGTGGGGCGCTGTGAACCTGACCAGCAGTGGGGCGCTGTGAACTGTGAACCTGACCAGCAGTGGGGCACTGTGAACCTGACCAGCAGTGGGGCACTGTGAACCTGACCAGCAGTGGGGCGCTGTGAACCTGACCAGCAGTCGGGCACTGTGAACCTGACCAGCAGTGGGGCGCTGTGAACCTGACCAGCAGTGGGGCGCTGTGAACTGTGAACCTGACCAGCAGTGGGGCACTGTGAACCTGACCAGCAGTGGGGCACTGTGAACCTGACCAGCAGTCGGGCACTGTGAACCTGACCAGCAGTCGGGCACTGTGAACCTGACCAGCAATGGGGCACTGTGAACCTGACCAGCAGTGGGGCGCTGTGAAGCTGACCAGCCCTGGGGCACCCAACCAAGTGCAATAATCTTGAACGCGACGTTAAATCCCATTTCTTCTCTTCCTTGTTCACTACTCTGTACTGTAGCATCATCTTGTTTGTGTGTGACTATAACGTGTGCTGCCATGGGGGGCAGGCTGACATACATCCCCAGCACTGGGAGAGGGCTCCCTGGTGTGAGGTTACACATTCACTATGAATGATTATGCTAGTGAATACCTCTGTCCTGCTATTCCACTGTGTGTAGGTGTTTACAGCCTGGGAAGTGCTACGCAGTTACAGATTTAGCTGGTTGGCATACACAGAAAATTCTCTGTTAGTAAACAGTTTTTTCTGTGCATATAGACAAGGTTGTGATGTGTTGTTGTTATTGCTATGGTTATTCTGTCTAGTGTCGTGTCATTCTCAAAATTGGTCCTTTGTATGGTCAGTTGAGTAATTCTCCATTTGGCCATTTGGTTGGGAATTCAAAAATATTTGATTACATTTTTGCCTGTTAGATTACACGTTTTGTCCAATTATCAATTGTGATGTTTTCATTATACATTAGGGGGCACGGGTGGCCCAGTTGTCTATACCCGTGTTCATGGGTTTCACAGAGATGGTAAACATCTGAGACCTGCATCACTTCGGGCTTTCCTCCCACATTAAGATGACACGCCGTGATATAATTGGAATACTGTTAAAAGCGGCGTTAAACCCAACTCACTCACTCACTCATTATACCTTGTGTATTACTCATACAAAATTAAATGCTTGTCCAACAGAAACACTGTCAGTGGTGTTACTTTAAAAAAATAGCTAAAAAATTAAAAGGAGTCACCCTTTGAAAATTGAGAAGAAACTGATTGGTCCCTTCTGGTAACCTCCTGTGCATGAGGCAAAGTAGCAGACGACATGAAAAGCAGGCAGCAGATCAGTTAAAAAAGAATTTGTAAACTTGACTTGCACCATATTTTTTTTCTGTTGTCATAAGTGTAACATTGTTATCATCACATGTGCACTGATTCAACAGATTTAGTTTGTTAGATGCATATATAGTGATTGTTAATTTGTTTTCTTGAGCACATGCTTCTCTGCAGAGGGTGTAGTTATTTAATGAATGCATCAATATTCAAAATATGTAAGTGGTGTATCGGTCAGTGGTGTATCGGTCAGTGGTGTATCGGTCAGGTGTGTATCGGTCAGTGGTGTATCAGTCAGTGATGTATCAGTCAGTGATGTATCAGTCAGAGGTGTATCGGTCAGCGGTGTATCGGTCAGTGGTGTATCGGTCAGCGGTGTATCGGTCAGCGGTTTATGGGTCAGCAGTGTATCGCTCAGTGGTGTATCGGTCAGTGGTGTGTTGGTCAGCGGTGTATCGGTCAGTGGTGTATCGGTCAGTGGTGTATCGGTCAGTGGTGTATCGGTCAGTGGTGTATCGGTCAGTGGTGTTTTGGTCAGCGGTGTATCGGTCAGTGGTGTATCGGTCAGTGGTGTATCGGTCAGCGGTGTATCGGTCAGTGGTGTATCGGTCGGCGGTGTATCGGTCAGTGGTGTATCGGTCAGCGGTTTATGGGTCAGCAGTGTATCGGTCAGGGGTGTATCGGTCAGTGGTGTATCGGTCAGTGGTGTATCGGTCAGTGGTGTTTTGGTCAGCGGTGTATCGGTCAGTGGTGTATCGGTCAGTGGTGTATCGGTCAGCGGTGTATTGGTCAGTGGTGTATCGGTCAGTGGTGTATCGGTCAGTGGTGTTTTGGTCAGCGGTGTATCGGTCAGTGGTGTATCCGTCAGCGGTGTATCGGTCAGTGGTGTATCCGTCAGCGGTGTATCGGTCAGCGGTGTATCGGTCAGTGGTGTATCGGTCAGTGGTGTATCGGTCAGGGGTGTATCGGTCAGTGGTGTATCGGTCAGTGGTGTATAGGTCAGTGGTGTATCGGTCAGCAGTGTATCGGTCAGCAGTGTATCGGTCAGTGGTGTATCGGTTAGTGGTGTATAGGTCAGTGGTGTATCGGTCAGTGGTGTATCGGTCAGTGGTGTAACAAATCTGTGTGTTTATTGTTATGGTAAAGCTTTTACAAACTGAAATAAGTTCCTGGATGAAAAATCATAAACATATATATGCAAAAGAGAATTTATGATTACCTCACAGCACTACTCCAATGACTTAATTTGTTATGCCACTGATATTATGAAATGTCTAACATACTCTTTTATGAAATGTAAAAGGTAAATATGATTTAAATGTGTTTTATCACAGAAATGTATTTTAATTATTTTTTTTGTAAAAATAACATTAAAAAACCATTAAACATATCTTAAGGGAGTGTTACACCAATGACAATTTGACGTCAATTTGTATTATATTTACATTAATTCAATTGTTACGATATATTAGTTTGTTTGTTTATTGCTGCACTCAGTGATATTCCAGCTGTATGACAGAGGTCTGTAAATAATCGAGTCTAGACCAGACAATCCTGTGATTGATATCATGAGCATTGATCCCTGCAATTGGGATACGATGACATGTATCAGCCAAGTCTGCTAGCCTGACCACCTGATCCCGTTTGTCGCCTCTTGCGACAACCATAGTCACCCCATGTGACAAGCATGGGTTACTGAAGGTCCAGTGGTATATTCTGTGTCTGAGTGGGGTATTCATGTTTAGCTGCAGCATCGTGTCGCAGAGGGCTAGCACTTTAAATCGGCATCAGTCCAGACTAGTACAAGTAGCCACACACACACTCACTGCATGCACATCGTGATATCAGTGGAAGCAACGTTAAAGCCCATTTCACCTCACCTGGTATACCTTGTGACAAAATTGCTGGTTAAGCACATCCTTACCACTGAAATGTGTGTCACTCAATAACAATGAGCTTCTGTGAGTGAGTGAGTTGGGTTTAATGTCGCTTTTAACAGTATTCCAGTTATATCACGGCGTGTCACTTTAATGTGGGAGGAAAGCCCGAAGTGATGCAGGTCTCAGACGTTTGCCACCAAATCCCGGTTCGCCCCAATTATGTTTCTAGGTTTGTCAGTATCATACCCGTGCTCGTGGGTTTCACTGAAGTGGTAAACGTCTGAGACCTGCATCACTTTAGGCTTTCCTCCCACATTAAGCTGACACGCCGTGATATAGCTGGAATACTGTTAAAAGCGACATTACACCCAACTCACTTACTCACTCAATCATGTGGAAACTTCATGACTGTCAATGAGCAGGATCCAAAGGAAAAGCTAGCTGTAGAAACATGTTCATAGCGGCTATTTTAAGTATTGGACTTAAAATGCTAATTACAATATATTTTGCGAAAATTGACTGTCAGATATGTCGGGTCTGGGGTGACAGTATGTAATTTATTTTTGTCTCATATCAATACACAAAAAATCTGCATCGTGTATCTTATCGTGGCATGATGCACCAGGGCATCATTTCACCGCTAGCCAATATATTGCTAAAAGCAGTGTAAAACTCACTCACTCACTCACTCTCATATGTACTATTTGATTTGTTGTTTCAGGTCACCTCTGCCTCTGTGTTGAGCATGAATGAGGGTGAACTGACCTACTCCTCCGACCAGATCGAGCAGCTTCTTCAGTGTTCAGTATGCCTTGACAGGTACAAGACGCCCAAACTGTTGCCTTGCCAACACACATTCTGCCACCAGCCATGCCTTGAAGGTCTGGTTGACCACCGTCTCAGGACAATCCGATGTCCCGAATGTCGAGCTGACCACCTCGTGCCCCGGGGAGGGACAGCCAACTTCCCCAACAACCTCACCATCATCAGCTTCTTGGAGCTGTCCGGACATAGGAGGTCCACAGGGATCCAGTTCGAGGAGATCCAGGCCATCGGGTCCAATGTCACGGCAGCTATTGTGCCCCAGGGTGCTGGAGCTGTGGGCGGGACTGGAGCCTCGTCCAGTGGAGCCACTTCCACTTCTACATCCACGAATGTAGGTGGAGCCACTACATGTTCGGAATGTTTGCGTGAACGGAATATATCTCGGTGTTCTCATTGCAATGACTTGCTTTGTGACAGCTGCAAGAGAGGGCATTTTGATCGGTATAAGAATGATGTGACTCGTCTCATTAGTCAGATCCGACGCAGCCTGCCGAACTTGTCAGAGTCTTTGTCTGGGATCAGCAGTCAGGGGTCTCAGCTTCAGCAAAGATGTGAGACTGCTAAGGAAGAACTGACAGAAGCTATTGAAAAGCATATACGAGAGTTGAGAAATAGACATAGGGAATTGTTAGGGGAAATTGATAGCTTTATTCTAGGGGAACTACGATCTCTTCGAACACATCAAGAAAATGTTGAGGTTGAAATTGCAAGTATTGCGAGTTTTTGTGACTCCTCAGAAGCAAGCATGAACAGAACCAGCACCCCTGAAGCTCACATTATGGAAGTGAAACAACAGTGTCTGGAACATCTTGAGTCACTTCGAGCTGTCGACTCAGGAAGGGCCAGAGCTCCAGTTCTGCGTCATCTCCAGATTGAAATGGAAGGACAGTATCTGACCAACACAATTGACAATTTTGGCGAAGTCATTGTTACGAGTGGATTATCAAGAAATGTTCCACTACCTTCTCAGAGATCGCAAGACCACACAGCTCCATCTGCTGGAGCAAGGGAAGTTTCGGAAAATACAGAAGGTCTCGATAGAAGAGAAGGCAGAGCAACGTGGCAGATTCCAGGGTCCATGGACTATTCCTTAAGGGTTGCTGAAACAAGATCCCCTTCTGTGTCCCCCAATCTTGAAAGGCGGGGAGCTGTTGCCAGGGATTCCAGACTGTCCAGAGTTTCATTTGAGGACCACAATGTAGATGAGGATGGAGACAGGAGGATTCTGGGAAATCTGTCCCTCCCCTCATCCCCGCTTATCGAAGTTCGACGGAGACCTCGGAGGGAACACCACTCGGATACACGTATCGCTGGTCTCCTCTCCGGAGGCGATGGCCTCTCCATTATGGAAAGGAACAGAGCAAGGCACAGAAGCATTGGTGCCCTGCCTCCACCTGATGAAGAATCTCTGGATGGGAATTCAGTATCATCTGATTCGCCTCCCAGATTTGCCCGAGAACAAACTTTTGTCCGTGACTCCCCAGCTCGTAATGCTACGAACCAAGCACCCGATGGGGCCTGGAATCGAGGTTCTGTTCGACCAGCTGTTCGGTTTGATGTTGCCGTGAATCAGTCCGATGATCAGTCAAGCGGTGAGTCTAGTGGGAACTATTCTTTCAGTCGTGCCAACGCCAGTCCCAGCATGTATGTGTCTTCCCCCAGGAACAAGTACAACCAGAAGGGCCATGCTATTCTCAGGTTCGGTGAACGTGGAAATGAAACAGGAAAGTTCACCTGGCCGCGTGGCGTGGCTGTTTCTCGTTTAGATGACAACATCTATGTCGCAGACAGCTCAAATCACAGAGTCCAAGTCTTTGCAGTGGACGGAAGGTTTCTTAAGACTTTCGGGACATATGGTCAGAACGAGGGTGAGTTTGACTGTCTTGCTGGAATAGCTGTGAACGGTCTCAACCAAGTAATCGTATCCGACCGATACAATCATCGTATTCAGATCTTCGACCGACGTGGTCAGTGTCAAAGTGTTTTTGGTGTAGAGGGTACAGGAGATGGTCAGCTGAACTACCCATGGGGGATTGCTTGCGACAATATGGGATTCATCTATGTCTGCGACAAGGAGAACCATCGCATACAAGTCTTTCAGTCCAACGGTACCTTTGTGAGAAAGTTTGGCCGGTTCGGCCAGGCTCCTGGACAGATGGAGAACCCACACTATGTGGCTGTAAGCAGCGACAACAAGGTCTACGTCAGCGACAGCAGCAATCACAGAATCCAGGTTTTTAACATATACGGCGATTTCCTCTTCACTTTTGGGTCGAATGGAACTCAAAGAGGACAGCTGAAGTTCCCCCGTGGCATTGCTATTGACAGTCAAGGATTTGTCGTGGTGGCTGACAGTGGAAATAATCGAATTCAAGTATTTCGAGCGGATGGAAGGTTCTACACCATGTTTGGAAGCTGGGGAAATGAGAACGGTCAGTTCAAAGGGCTGGAGGGGATTGCTATACAGTGCAATGGAAATGTTATCGTCAGTGACCGAGAAAATCACAGAATCCAGGTGTTCTGAATGTATATCAAATTAACAGTGTTCACGTACATGCTAACATTACTGCCAAATCACATCAGGATACTAGAAGTGATTCTCTTCATCATGTTGAAAGGTGTTTTTGATCTTGTTAACAATATTATCAATTCTGTGAATGAATTTACAGACATGGTTTTTGGTTTCAGAAAATGAACATGAGAAAATTGTATCGTATTGATTCATTGAAGACATATTTTGTGAAGAAATATTTATTTAGGTCTGAAGTTCAAGTTATATTTATCTTACAGTATTTCTGTTCTTATAAAGTTTACTTGGTTTGTTTGATCTCGACCAGTCATAGTTTCTCATAAATTGTATATCTAAATTAGTACCTTACACATGTGTCACTGATAATAGTGGTCTTTCGCATTTTTAATTCTTTGGGTCAACTTTCTTGCTTTGAAAATACATCGATTGGTTGAACTTCTTAAGCTGAACTATTTTGGAAATGAGAAATAAGAAAACAGATTTTAGATTTGATGTAAATCAATTAATCATACCTCATTAACATTCACGTTTTCTGATATTTCTTCATTTTGATGTCATAAGAGTACAGAAAGGACAATTCTTGTGCTAAAACGGCCTTACATTACCAATGTGCCATAGCTGAGAGCAAATGTTCTATAATGGTTTTATTCTACTAGGGGCACTCGTGGCCCAGTTGTCTGAGGCATCACAATTCGCTGTTGCGTCCCTTGGGCACGCCAGAAACCTATGATTGTGGGTTTTGAATCCCGGTTCGCCCTGATTATGTTTCTAGGTTTGTCATCACCATACCCTGGCAAATGTGGGGTTGAAACCCATCTCACTCACTCATTATGTACCATCTCAGTAACTTATGTACCATATCAGTAATTTACGTGCCATCTTAGTAGTTTTGTGTACCATGTCAGTGATTTACATACTATATCTGAAATTTACATACCGTCTCAGTAATTTACATACTGTCTCAGTAATTTAAATACCATCTCAGTAATTTACATAACGTCTCAGTAATTGACGTACCATCTCAGTAATTTACATACTGTCTCAGTAATTGACGTACCATCTCAGTAATTTACATACTGTCTCAGTAATTGACGTACCGTACCATCTCAGTAATTTACATACTGTCTCAGTAATTGACGTACCATCTCAGTAATTGACGTACCATCTCAGTAATTTACATAACGTCTCAGTAATTGACGTACCATCTCAGTAATTGACGTACCATCTCAGTAATTTACATAACGTCTCAGTAATTGACGTACCATCTCAGTAATTATTGTACCATCTCAGTAATTGACGTAACAATGTCAGTAATTGACGTACCGTCTCAGTAATTTACATAACGTCTCAGTAATTGACGTACCGTCTCAGTAATTGATGTACCGTCTCAGTTATTTACATAACGTCTCAGTAATTGACGTACCATCTCAGTAATTGACGTTCCATCTCAGTAATTGATGTACGTCTCAGTAATTGATGTACCGTCTCAGTAATTTACATAACGTCTCAGTAATTGACGTACCATCTCAGTAATTGACGTACCATCTCATTAATTGATGTACCGTCTCAGTAATTTACATAACGTCTCAGAAATTGATGTACCATCTCAGTAATTGATGTACCATCTGATCATTTATGTACCATCTGATCATTTATGTACCATCTCAGTATTATTGTACATCATCTCAGTATTATTGTACATCATCTCAGTATTGTTGCATACCATCTATCATGATCTATGTAGCGGTATGTCAGTCTTCCGAAGTATCACTCAATATTGCCATACATCAACTGCAACTTTTCACGTTGAACACTGCTGACATGAGACATTGGACCATCTTTAAGGAATGGTTATACCAATGCAAACACTGCTTCATGATTTGTTTGATAATTTAGAAAATCTGAATGGAATTGATCATTTCTACTGAACTGAAATATTGTTTCATTTAAGCCTCAGGTACTTTGGCTGAGTGTGATGCAAGTGACTGGCATACATCTTCCTGAGTCAAGGCAATTAACTATAAGAGTCCTGTTTCCACCCTTGCCAAACTAGGCTGGAATTATGGAGTTACATTTTGGCTTGGCTAACGAGTGTGCGTAGTCCAATCAAAATCGTGTAACGAAATCAACATTAGGTTCATAAACTTCAGTGCAGATTTCGGACGATTGCAGAATTTGCAGAGCTTGTGTATTGTCAACAGGGCATCGACAGATATTTTCCAAATCTTTTCATGTTTTTAATCAAGGTGCTCAACTGGTTTGATGCATTTGCAAGGTTAGACCTGTTTAATTACAATAAATATCATGATTATTGATCGGATCGATTTGACTGGGTGCCGCCAGTTTGCTTGAAGCAATTGCAAGTGATATGTGGGGTGGAATTTGATTGGTCAGTAGAAGGGACATAGAACGGACATAACTTGTATTTGCCACTGGTGGCGCTGCGATCGAGCCATGGAATTCCAGCCTAGTTCAGCAAGGGTGGAAACTGGATTTGTATAGTCAGTTAACTGTCTTGCCTCGGGAAGATGCAGGCATATACCAAGTGGAGCAACTTGTTGCAGCTGGCCCAGTGTGATGTGCTGGGTCAACTGTGACAAGAGTGTATTGAGTGTATTATAGTGTACAGTACATGCAGTACAGTGTTATTTTCTGCTGCTGAATCATCTCAAGGTTCATATGTCCTGCTACTGATGCAGACCTGTGATATGTTCCGTGATGCAGTTTTAAGTTGTAGGTGTTGCATAAGTCGGAGCTCTAAAAACACTTTGTGGATCTGGGCCCTGTTCCATAAGTGATCTCAGCACTAAGGTGATCATAACACCCATATGTTAAACTAGTAGGATGACATCGCACTACTGTTGTTGCAGTTGATTCCAAGCCAGATTTCACTGACTATTTTGAACATGCATTTTGAACAAGTTTGACTGATTTAACTGTAGGTTATTATGTAAAAAGGGTTCGCCCCGATTATGTTTCTAGGTTTGTCAGCACCATACCCATACTAGTGGGATTCACCAAAGTGGTAAACGTCTGAGACCTGCATCACTTCGGGCTGTCCTCCATAACATGGTTTAACTTGGAGAAATCACTCCGTGTTGATTCTTGAAGTGGAAATAGTGAATAAGTAAGTGGGTTTTTCGGCCAATTTTAGCAATATTCCAGCAATTACATGGTGGGGGACACCAGAAATGGTCCTCACGCATTGTACCCATGTGGAATTTGAGCCCGGGTCTTTCGCATGGCAAACAAACACTTTAACTACTAGGCTACCCCACCGCCCTGAAGTAGAATAGACAAGATCCTCAGCCTTGGCTTACGATAGTTGTAGCACTAAGAACGAGTTGTTGATATGAACCCCGTTCCATTTAGCGATCTCAATTGATGTGAACATCAGCTAAGTTGTGAGAACACCTTGTGTAATGGGGCCCAGGACCCTGCTGATAACGAGTAGGAAACTTTCAATGACAGACACCAATGCTCTTCCCAGATCGTCGACAGCTCATTTCGTTCTGGTGATTTATGTAAAGTAATGAGATTTGGGGAGAATACAACTATTTCCTCCAGATTGTCACAAGGATGTGGTGTAGCCTAATAGATAAAGGTTTAGCCTGACACACTTTAGGTCTGGGTTTGATTCCCCAAATGAGTTCAATCTGATGCCTGGTGTCCCTTGTAATAATATTGCTGGAATATTGCTACACACAGTATAGAACACAACTCACTCACTACTACAGGTAGGGCACCTGTTGATGGTGTATTCCACTACCTACATCTCAGCCAAGGCCAGGAAGTCACAGTGTTGCAAATACCAATAATATACTGCCATTGTCCTTTTATGCATTTTCATTTCCATCTTGGCACACCCTCAAACTTTGATAAAGTGAAACAAATGATCTCATCATGCTCATTGACAATTTCTAATTGTGTCCATGTAGGATTTAATTCACATTGAAATTTGAAATATATATTTCAACAAAAAGTAAATTACTTTTTGAGGTTGCACGTTTTCTACTCATTTCCCTAATTTTGACGAACACTGATTCTGAGAGAATGTTGGCACAGATTAGTGGAGAGAGTTGGCTGACACAGCATCCTCATCTTCTGGCCCCGACTCCCCCCTCCTCCCTCCCCCCCCTCCCAGAGTGAAGGCTAATCAGGCATGTCCCAGGGATGATGTAGCAGGAGTTCCCTTACATGTGCTGAGATAAACTGGATGGATGGTATTGATGCAAGCCAACAATTTATCCCACACAGTGTCTCAACTTAGTTTTCCTACTATAGCAATGTTTGTGCAGAGGAAGATTCCAACTTGCTAATCTTTGATTCAGAGGGTTCTTATTTCAAAATGAACTGACTAAACATAAATAGATAGTGAGTGAGTATAGTTTAATGCCGCTTTTAGCAATATTCCAGCAATATCACAGCGGGGGACACCAAAAATGGGCTTCACACATTGTACCCATGTCGGGAATCGAACCCAGGTCTTTGGCGTGACGAGCGAATGCTTTAACCACTAGGCTACCCGACCGCCCCTCATAAATAGATAACATTAATAACCACATAAACATGATAAACTGAAAGGAATAAATTCCCCAATTCAAATGAACATCTTATTTTCATTAAAATATTAATTTCTTCTGTTGCAAGTCTTTCTATATTAATCCCATGTTGTCTGTGACAAGCTGTGATCTCATAACCCTCCCTTCGGGGTTCTGTTTTGGTTTGATGGTCTGGGGTCCTGCTACTTTCGTACAGGTGGCCTGTTTGCTCCTGCCGTCCAAGAGTTGCCTCCTTTATTCAGGCGAACACAGACAGCATGTTTATCTCCCAATTAAGGGGTTAGTGCAGGTGTATTGGTCACATGGACATATGAACAATTGGATTGATCTGTATCAACGTATCATTGAGTATCATCTCTGTACCAATATGTACCGCTGTATCCATTGTTTTTTCACCCGGTCATGGATGTTCCCGGATTGAATGGTCTACTTTCCTCAATATCATTCTTGGAGTGTTGTTCCCAGGTGTGAGGTTGAACCCAGATTTCCAAGTCCTCGCCTCTGATCAGAATCTGATTGAACAAATCAGTCACTTGTAACTTCATGTCAACGATCATGAGACTCATTTTTTTATATTATTTGTATCACAGACAAATTTCGGTGAGATCTGCAGATGGAAAACCAGGAAAAGGAGTTACACAACAGTAATGAAACTTAGGCCACACTTTTTCATATTTTGGTTTACTGTTTTTTTTGCTAACAATTTTCCTAGATTTGGCCGCAGTAGAAGTAAAAATTAATTTGTGTATCTCAATATTTTTGTATTATATTTAGCATTTAGCTGTTTGATTTTATAGGAAGAAATTCTAATTCTATTTTAAATGCATATTAGGTGTTTGCTGGCAAAGACTATATGTATTGATTATTTATTCAAAAGTTAACAATTATGCTTGCTTAGATTTTGTAGTTGTATATTTTAGTTTTCCTAATTCATCCAAAATAGAGCAGTCTTGGAAATAATTATATATTTTAACTGTTTTATGTTTAATTTTAAGGTTATTTATAATAGAAACAGTACCAGGAATTGCTTCAGACTAAACTTATGATTTGGTTTCATAGTGTACAAACCCATTCATCTTTTAAAATCCCATACACCACAGTGGTGACAGATGAATTTTTTTTAATATTACCGTATTTGATGTATTAAAGTGCCCAGGGCGCTCTCAAAATTAGAAATAGGGGGCTCTTATTAGAATATAATTTTGGTGAAAAAAAAGATTTATGGTGACAGTCTGAAATGATACAAAAGAAAAGTCTGTGCGTATTATACACAACAGATATATTTTCCAGAATTTATTTACCCATATTTAAGGGTGCATTTAACACACGAATGCGTATTATACACAAATGTATAAGTCTTGTGTACATTGATCAATAGGAAGGGGTGCTAATTGGGATTGTTCACTAGCCAATTTATCATCAAGTATGGCTGTGGGCGCTTATTAGAGCGGGGCACTCATTACGTCGAATACGGTACTAGTTTACAAGTTACAACACTGATTTTCAGTGACCTGTGTATGATAATTAGATCTACCGTGTGAGCGCCATGAGTCTTAGCATGGTAACTTCTAGGTGTGAACACTGTCCGTTGTACTGTCACATCAGCAAACAGCTTGATTCTATGACGTCTAATAGTAATGTTTATGGTTATTGGTCTTTGTGTCCTGGGAATGTGTGGCCTAGATGTAGAGGCTGACACGGGTTGGTGTTTAGAGTTGCTTCCCTTGCCAGAATCCGGAATTGTGGGTTTGAATCCCACATTTGCCCTGATTTTGCTCTTTGGTTTGTCAGCACTGTTGGTTTCAAGGGGTAATCATCAAGGACCTGCATCACTTTGAGTTATACTCCAACATTTAGTTTTCACTTCTTTTTAACTGGCATACTGTTTTAAAACATGTTAGACTTAACTCTCTCATTCCTTCTTTGCCATACTGTATTTATTCAGTTTGCAACATTTAAAGTTAGAATTTACAATATTTGCAATACCTGGGTCCTCTTGCACAAAGCGATCTTACCACTGAGGTGATCATATCTCCCATGCTTTAACATAGGTTTAAGATAGTCGTAGCTCTAAGGACACTTTGTGCAATGGGGTCCTGGCCCATAAGTTTAAGGAACCTGACCATAAGAGAAGCCTAATATTTAATTTGTCTATTTCATCTGGAGAAATGTCTTCCACATTCAGATCTGTGATCGAAGTAATAAGAAAAGGCTGGTCATGTGATATTTCACCAGTAGTCATGGAGTCATGTCATACTGTACCTGTAACCATGGATACGTGTCATACTTTACCAGTAGTCATGGATACATGTCATATTTACCAGTAGTCATGGATACATGTCATACTTTACCAGTAGTCATGGATACATGTCATACTTTACCAGTAGTCATGGATACATGTCATACTTTACCTGTAACCATGGATACGTGTCATACTTTACCTGTAACCAGTAGTCATGGATACATGTCATACTTTACCTGTAACCATGGATATGTGTCATACTTAACCAGTAGTCCTGGTCACATGTCATACTGTACCAGTAGTCATGGATACATGTCATACTTTACCTGTAACCATGGGTATGTGTCATACTTAACCAGTAGTCATGGCCACATGTCATACTGTACCAGTAGTCATGGATACATGTCATACTGTACCAGTAGCAATGGATACATGTCATACTTTACCTGTAACCATGGATACGTGTCATACTGAACCAGTAGTCATGGCCACAAGTTATACTGTACCAGTAGTCATGGATACATCTCATACTTTACCTGCAGCCATGGATACATGTCATACTTTACCTGTAGCCATGGATACATGTCATACTTTAGTCGTAGCCATGGTTAAATGTCATACTGTATCAGTAGTCATGGTTACATGTTATACTTTACCAGTAGTCATGGTTACATGTCATACGTTACCAGTAGCCATGGATACTTGTGAATGGTGGGTATTAAATCCTGGAACCAGTCACTTTGATGAAACTTCTGACAGTAACATTCTTGGTATTATTAAGAAGCTTTGTTGGGCCTTTGACACTTCTTTATGGAAATGACCAACTCTGAGAGATATCTACAATGATTTAAGTGACAATGCAGCGTTGACAGTAAGGGGAAGTAACTCCAGCCACCTGTGGGTGCCTTGTCATGTCAGATTATATTTGTCCCCAACCAAACTGAATTGTCTTTGGGGGAAAACTAAAACAAAATGGCCTTCCTTCATTCTGAACATAAAGTTGTCATTAAGGCACCAGTTGAAGATGCTGTACATTGATATGAGAAAGCAAACATCTTTGATGAGGAACAATTTGTCTTTCCATTTTCCACTGATGAGTGAGTGAATGTAATTTTATGCCACTTTACTCTGCTGAGGAAGAGGTCTTCAAAGTATGTTATTATCTTCTTGTTTTGTTATTTGTGGATTTATTTTGAATTTGAGACTGTTGTACAATCTTGCCAAAATTGTTAACCGAAAAGTACTTAATGTTTAAGGGATGATGTCGCCCATCCTTTCACTTAATGATGTATATTGATGAGAGTTGTTGTGTTGGGGAGTGACTACAGCATGTACAGTGGTGTGGATTGTATTTACCTGGAGCTTTCAATATTTAAACAAATATTTTGTAGCACAACTTGTTTCCAATTTTAGTGACATGTTCCTATGTATATTTAATACAAGTTGAACCACAGGAACATTGAAGTTCTGATTAAGACAACTGACATTGTATGGCTTGCTTACTGTCAAACATCCCTCTCTCTTTGTATCAAAATATCAACTGACATTTAAACAAAATTTCACATCCCACTCTATTCCACATTTCATATATATATGACCTGTGATGATCCAGGTCTGAAATGGTCTTCAGCATCCCATGCTTCAGCAACTATGCTTGTAAGAGGCGACGAACTGGATCTGGTGGTCAGGCTTGCTGACTTGGTTGATACATGTCCTAGATCAATGCACTGGATTGTCTGGTCCAGTCTCGATTAGTCAGAGACCACCATCATATAAATGGAATATTGCAGAGTGCAGTGTTAAACAACAAACAAACAAACAAACAAACAAACAAAGAGATGTTACAAGTAAGAACTATAAAAGCAGACAATGTCATTGTTTTGATTAATACTTCCTGGTGAGTAGCTCTTGATTATAGAATAATGATGTGGTCAGCTGTGGTTTGACATTCCCAAATGGTTGTGTGTGTAGATTTTTTGCTGTTACCATGGTTACACTAGTCCATTTACCTCCTTCCAAAATGAGTTAGTTTACTTCATTGTTCAATTATACATAATGGGTGCTATTGTCAATGTCAGTTACTGTTTGCCTTATGTGTGTATGCTTTTGTACTTACCAGTCAGTATAATCCATGGTTGCCATCCACATACCAATATTCATCTTATACAAACAGAAAGTATTTTTTTACCCTATAGAACAAAGCAATAAGAAAGCTGTTAAATCCTATGGAGATGGTTATTATAAATAGGTTTTCTTTATCCTTAATAATGTTTTAGTTTGATGATGTAATATATACTACTCAAAATAAGTTAAAGAACACCCACACTAGGAAGACTGTGGCAATACTCACCAGCCATGACAGATTTTGAGAATCTCACAGAGTGTCTTTTGATAACAAAAAACTTTTATCAGTGAGAGTTGATATATTTGATATCAAAAGACACGAGTTTTTATATATCATCCAACATCATTCTTCCAACTTTTTCAGTTTTTAAACGGTAATAAGCAGTAAAAAGTACTGCTAACAGCTTCAGCAGCAGAGCCATTAGGTGATGTCATTTGATTGTGACTTCAAGGTTACCAATGATGTCACAATGGTCTGCAAAGCATTGTGATGCAATTTCATTGCAGCGATATCTACAATGTTGATATCACTTGATATCACCCAAGGATATCTCCAGTGGAAGCCAGTTTGGGATGATAATTACCATTGTCATATGAAGAACTTGTGTGTTCTTTAACTTCTTTTGAGCAATTTATGTGACATAGAGTGTTTGGTGTTTGAGATAATTCAGCAAGTCTGTGTAAAGGAATGGAAGTTGTTACACTGCTGGGGTATAGTAAAAACTAATGATAAATGATATATATACTCACCGCCAAAAGAAACGCAAATTTTTATGTTGTTTAATACATAAAGACTTACCTGTATTCAAGAGACATTAGATAGGTTCAATGCACAAATGAACATCCTGGTATGTCGTATAAACCGATGCTGTTGAACGCATCACATGTGACGTCATTGATCCATCACTCAAGATGCACCACTTGTCTGTGCAAGATTAGTGTGTAAAGTTTTGAAATCACATGCATCATATTGTCATAAGAATAACGACACTCTGTGGGAACACTTGACTGATTGTTAGTTTTGTCATTAACTGGTGCACATTGGAAACATCTCTCCTTAACATACATACTTCTCTATATGTTTCAATGGTTTGCGTTTCTTTTGGCAGTGAGTATAAGATGATAATATATGTTGTGCTTGGTTTATAATACTGTTGATTTAGTGTTATTAATTTACAGATACAGAAATGTACAAAAATATGTGTAGTTGAGAAAGGTAAGTGTTAAACATCATGAACATTTTATGTGTGTTTAAGAAATATTTATCAGGAGTAACAAATATTCCAAATATATATTTACATAATTACATGTTTGTACTTTCGTTGTAAGGAAAAACATGCATGGTTGTTTAATTGTTTTAAATCTGAATTAGTCATACTCTGTTTTTTTTAGAGATGTTTTGGAATTGAGTCAGGAGTCAGTGTTAGTCAAGCTGAAGTCAGTTGGCCAAGAGCCAGGCACTCCCCTACACCACTGACATTGTCAGAACAAGCTGGCACAGTGTTGTTGTTTTGTAATAATGATACAAAATAGGCCTGGGACGTGTCCAAATTTACTACCCAGGTACCCACCACCCTATTACCCGACCCTACTCGGGTACCCACTGTTGGCCTCAAGAGATAGGAACAAAATGTCCGATTGGGGATTTTTTACCATTGCCCTGGCAAAACGTATTTAGATTCACGTATTTACCAATCTGGTCACGCATACGCTGAAGTTGACTTAAGTTATATCTTTATTCAGCCATATGAAAAGTCAGAAGGAATAGGTGAATATTTTTTGTCATTAAACAATATGTCACGTGACTAACCACGGGTCCGGGTAGTCCTGTGGGTACCCGGGTCCTACTCAATACC